AAAATCACTGCAGCTGGTGACTGCAGCCATGAAATTAAAAGACGCTTACTCCTTGGAAGGAAAGTTATGACCAACCTATATAGCATATTAAAAAGCAGAGACATTACTTTACCAACAAAGATACGTCTAGTCAAGGCTATGGTTTTTCTAGTAGTCATGCATGGACGTGAGAGTTGGACTATAAAGAAAGCTCAGAGCAGAAGAATTGTTGCTTTTGAACTGTGGTGTTGGAGAAAACCCTTGAGAGTCCCTTGGACTGCAAGGAGATCCAATCAGTCCACTCTAAAGGAAACAGTCCTGAATATTCATTGGAAGGACTGATGCTGAAGCTGAAACTCCAATACTTTGGCCATCTGATGCAAAGAACTGACTCATTGGACAAGACCCTGTTGCTGGGAAAGACTGAAGATGGGAGAAGGCGACGACAGAGGATGGGATGGTTGGATGGCATCACTGACTCAATGGACATGAGTTTGAGTAAACTCCGGGATTTGGTGAAGGACAGGGAGGCCTGGTGTGCTGCAGTCTATGGAGCTGGAAAGAGTCGGACACATTGAGCCACTGAACTGAACTGAACTGATCTCTCTGTCCGTCTCAGAAGACAGCTTCCCCTCACAGGGCACATGGTTTTCCAGAGAGATCCTCGAGGCTGTGGGCTGGGGTTTCAGAGCACGCATATCTATCTATCTGTCATCATCAATCTATCTCTCTGTACATTTCAGGAGAGAGCACCCTTCCACAGGGCACACAGGTTTCCACAAGATCCTCGAGGCTGTGGGCCGGGGTTTCAGAGCCAGGCAGTAGACGCAGCACAGGGGGAGCAACCTGCCTTCCAGACCATGTGTCCACCAGCTAACTGTGTGACCTTAGCAAAAAGCCTCCTCCTCCTAAGCATCACTTTCCTAACATGTAGATAGGGCTGGTAGCCCCTGCCTGTCCTCCTCTTAAGTGGTGTCACGAGGATAAGATTTAGTAAACGCCCTGGACACATGAGAAGAACAGTGCTTGTACCGGTCCCCAAATCACACAGGGCTGCAACCCTAGACAGGTCAAGGGCACAGATCCCTGTGAGAGTCGGCTGGAAGGGAGGAAAATCCACAAAGGAGACACAGGCAAAGACACAGGGGTGTAGCAGAGGCCTCCCAGCCACAACAACGAAAGAATCTATAAAGTCCCCAGGGCTGACCACACCTGAGTCACAGACAAAATGGAGTTTCAAATGCTGCGAGTTGTGGACTCCTAGGACCCCACGCCCTCAGCCCTTCAGGCCCAGCCTGGCCCCAGCTGCGCCTCTTGAGAAATCTCTCATTAGACCAGTGTTCAGGAGGGGATGTTGGGAAGAGTGGACACCTCACTGGCTCGTTTGCCTGCTTCACAGGTAGTCCAAACAGGATGTGTATTAAAGCACATGGCATCACAGTACCAAACCACAACATGCCCATCAGGGCATTCTCATTTAAAAAAAAATATGCTAACAAAGCAGGCATGAAATGGTGGCAGAATAAGCATGTTCTTTCTATAAAAGCTCAGGGAACAGAATCAGACAGGCTTAGTCTGAAACCTATTTTTGAGATTTTCCAGCTATGGGATCTTGGGCAAGTGAGTTAACCTCTCTGTGACTCATTCTAAAATAATAATAAAGTATTAAATACAATAACTTAACATAATAATAATTCAATAATTTCTATAACAATAGAAATAACACTTGTACCTACTTCAAGTTGTTATAAGAATTTGTGCTGATGACAATTTAAAAAAAACAATTATCAAGCATTTACTGGGTGTCAGCCATTATGCCAAGTAAGAAGCTGCATAACTCTGTAAGGAGAGACACAGACTGGGTAGAGACAGGTATGAATCCTGGTTCCAAAACCAACAGATCGTGTGACCTTGAGCAAGCTGCTTAAGCTCAACCGGCCTCTTTTCCTTCTCTGTAAAAGGAACACAGTAACCTCAAGGGTTAGGTGTTGGGATTAAATGATGTAATCTATGTAAAGCACTCAGACCAGTACTCTAAGCACTATGACCAACACAGTTATCACCAGAAGGGTTGGTTGTTATCAGTTACTCAGAGCCTGACAGGCAGCTAGCCCTCAATAAACAGACCACCAGGGGAATGATGACTCTTCTGCTCAGGCTAGAGGCAGAGCTCCAAGCTCCCAGCTGGGAGCTGACATGAAGACAACGCTCGCCCTCTGGTGGACACAGAAGGAGGAGAACAAGACAACACAGTCCTCCCAGAGTCTGTTTCCCAGCAGGCATCCTCTCAAGACTCAGATACCAGAAGTGTTGCGTTTAAGTGAACGCAACTTCCACATTATTGTTTTTTATTTTGTGTCATTCCTTTTTATTTTGCATTATTATTTTTCAGAAATTCCATGATTTCGACATTTCTAATGCAAAGCGGTGGCCAGATGCTGCCAGGGTTCCTCGCGCTTTCCCCAGAGCTTCCAGTCACCCACTTACCCACCACCCTCCCGACCGAAGAAGAGCTTAATGGCCAAAGTAGGCTGTTAATTGTGAAAGCGTGCTCCGAATCTCCCTAAACTTCACTTACATCACATACAGATTATCTGCACCCACTTCCCAAGAAGCAACAATAAGTACAAAACCCTCTCTATCAGGACCAAACTCTGAGCGTCAGCATGTCCCAAGGTCAGCTCAGTGGGGCCCCGACCACTGAACTCTTCGTTCCAACACACCTGTGCCGAGAGCCTGTGACTCGATGCACCAGGGTTGAGGCAGATGAGACAGAAGGAGACAAAGTTTATATCCCAGCAGGAAAGTGAAAACAAACAAAAGTAAAAGATCATGAAATGTGCTTTGCAGAGCATTTTAACAGGTAATAAAGTAATACAGCAGAAGAGGTAATACACCCATTTGACTGGGCGGTGGGGGAAGAAGGGCCTTCGGAGAAAGTGACATTTTTACTGAACAGAAAGACGAGAAATAAGCAGACATGTAAAAAAATCAGGAGGAAGAGTGTGTAGGCAGAGGAATGAAGAGATACTCTGTGTGGCCAGAGAGAAGTGAAGCAGGGTAGAAGAGGAGGCAGTCAGGGATGGGGCGAGCACGGGGCTGGGAGGGTCTAACATGTCTGTGTTAGGAGATTATATTTTATTCTGCGTGAAATGGGAAGCCAGAAGTGAAGTGAAGTGAAATTCACTCAGTCGTGTCCGACTCTTTGCGACTCTAGGCCAGAATACTAGAGTGTGTAGCCTTTCCCTTCTCTAGGGGATCTTCCCAACCCAGGGATCAAACCCAGGTCTCCTGGATTGCAGGCAGATTCTCTACCAGTCAAGGGAAGCCAGAGGAGTGCTTTAAACCAAAGAGTAACAAGATATAACTTACATTTTAAAGAAATGTAAATGGAGGGGGTAGGTCAAAAATAGCAGTGAGGGGCAGACCAGTGACAAGGCTCCTGGATCTACTTGTTTTCCCACTTTTTAAACTGAAGTACAGTTGATTTACAAAGTTATGTTAGCTTTAGTTGTACAGCTTCAGTTATACATATTTATGTGTATATGTCTATACTTTTTTTCAATTCTTTCTCATTATACCTGCCAAGCTCCTCTATGCATGGGATCTCCCAGGCAAGAATACTGGAGTGGGTTGCCATTTCCTTCTCCATAGGATATTCCCGACCCAGGGATCAAACCCAGGTCTCCCACATTGCAGGTGGATTCTTTACCATCTGAGCCACCATGGAAGCCCTATAGTTTATTACAAGATATTGAATATAGTTCCCTGCACTATGTAGCAAAATCTTGTCATTTATCTATTTTATAGTTTTGTGTATCTGTTAATCCAATACTCCCAATTTATCCCTTCCCCTACCTTCCATTTTGGTAACCATGTTTGTTTTCTATATCTGTGAGTCTATTTCTGTTTTGTAAATAGGTTCACTTGTAGTACTTTTTAGATTCCACATATAAGTGATATCATATAACACTTGTCTTCCTTACTTCACTTACATGATAATCTCCAGGTTGGACCTACTTTATGTTTATTTATTCAGTTTTTGGCTGTGTCCTGTGCCATGTGGGATCTCAGTTCCCCATCAGGGATCAATACCCATGTTCCCTGCATTGGAAGTGCAGAGTCTTAACCACTGGACCGCCAGGGAAGTTCCTGGATCTACTTTAAATGAAGTATTTACAAGACTCGCCCACGGGTGAGATGGGCATAAGCACATAGTGAGAAGAGGGGGATCTGGGTTTGCCCCATTGCACTGACATGAGGGAGATAGGGAGAGGAGCAGGAGCCGGTCTGGGCATGGAAATCCAGGATTCCCTATTGGACACGGCATGTGTGAGATGCCACGTGGTGACAATGAAGGGGTAGTGGGGCAGCCAAGACTGAAAAGGATGGAGACACAGGCAGGGGAGATCACAAAGGCGGGCAGGTGGGGTTACGGGATCAGAGAAGGGAGCCCTCCTGAGGCGGAGTTGGGGTACTGCAACCTTGAAGTCAGGCTCGCCGGGAGGAGCCTGCAGGAGTGAGGGAGTCGGAAAAACTAGGACAAGGAGGGCCCCAGAAACTGGAAGAAATGGGTGGCTGAATGAGTTGAATCTCAACTAGGACAGAAATTATCCCAGGATTCAGCAACAGGGAGGTCACTGTAGCCTCGACAGGAACATCTTAGTGGGGTATGGGGCATGAAGTGGATGTCTTACCACCTTTTCAGTCTTTTCTCCAGCGCTCCTCCTCCTGAGGGCCCACGAACAGGCCAGAACCCCGGGAGTCACCCCAAACCCTCACTGCCCTACCCACGGACTCCACTGAAGCTCTGCGTCTCCGTCAGCTCTGACCCTGGTTCACGCCGCACCAGCTCTTTCCTGGACTTTCTTGTCCCTCACTGACCCCCTTATCTCTAGGCTCCTCGCTCCAATCTGCCCCCAACACGGCCTGAGTGATGGCTCTAAAGTGCATGTCTGACCCTGAGTCTCTAGTCCTGAAGTCTCCTGGACTCCCATTATCCTCAGGATCATGGTCAGCTTCCACACCGTGACCATCTCACCCTTGTCTCTTCGCCACCTTTTCATCTTCCCAGCTCCACTTCATCTGACCACCTCCTCCCTACCAAGGCCTTCAAAAGCTCTTTCCTCTTTTTTTACATGCTTTCCTGATTCACTCTGCCCCTCCTTCAGCTAAAGTGTCACCTCTTCAAGAAGCCTCCCATGACTACCCCCCACCCTTCTGGGCACCCGGCTGTGGCTCACGGCCACTTACCTGCTGCACCGGTTCAATGGTCAGCTCCATGTAGCGACTGATGGCTGCCATCCTCTTGAGCGGCTTGCAGTGTGGGAGTGTGGTGAGCGGCACCCAATCCGAGTTCTTTCAAAAGGAGACAGGAAGACAAAAAGGAAGGAGACACTTTCTAAAAACAGGATTCCATTTTCTTCAAAAGAATCCCTTAAGTATTTTTTCTGTTCTTTTATGGCACATCTCACTTTCTACTTCCTATAAGATGTATCCTCTTTGATGTCACAGAGGTGGGTGGGTCCAAAACTTTGCTGCACAGTGGAACTACCTGGGCTTCTTAAAAAACAGCTAATATTTAGCTTTTAACCCCAAACATTCTGATTTAACCAGTGTGGAAGTGACCTGGAGAGTTTAAAAGCTCCCCAGATAATTATAAAGTTTGGCAAAGCTGGGAGACCACTTAAGTGGGTGCTAAACAAATGCTTTTAGAAGTGGTTCTCGAACTTTACTGTGCATCAGAAGCACCAAGAGGACTTATTAAAACACCTTGAGCTGTGTTTTGGTAGAGCTTGGTGGACCCTAGAACTTGCATTTCTAACAAGTTCTTGGGCGATGCTAGTCCAAGGACCACACTTTGAGAACCAGAGCTGTAAAGACTGCTGAAGAGATGGTGAAGGCTCAGCTTACTCTCTTCAGAACACTAAACACATGAGGCTCTCTTGAAATATTTTAGCTCCCTTTTGGAATATAATTTCATAAGAGATTCTAGAATGGAATGAAAATAACATCCCATTAGAGCCTTCCTGGGAACTTGGATCTTTGGTCCAAGAACCTATATCACCCCTTTTAGCTTGGCCATACCTACACACTATCTCCTATTTCATTAATTCAATCAGATTATGTCATTAAACCTAGAACATTTGGAGGAGTGGACCCGGCTCACTCACAGGGAGTCTCATTTCCACTCTGAAAGAAATGAGAATAGTGAGGAGTCTACATAGGAGACTAGATTTTTTTTTTTCCTGAAAAAATTATCTTAGAAAAGAGGGAGCTGTTTATGTTCAAGTCTTTACAAGCTTTCTTATTATCATGAGGTACTTGCTCAATTATTTGCAGCCAAGGACTTCTGACAAAGACAAACTCCCTCAGTTAGCATAGTTCTCCTTACTTACAGGAGTCACCTGATTAAATCAGTAAAGACAGAGACAGACACATTTACAGATATGACATAATTGTAAATGGTGGATCTTATTGTAAACAACACTTTAAAAATCAGCTTTTTAGCAACATCATCTTTTTAAAAAGTTGTGTTATTGGTGGTGATGCTGTGCATGTCAAATGCATGCAAAAGTAGGAACATAAGTTTTTACTAAGTGAGGGCAAAAAACACATTACTTCTAAACTCAAGTATTAATTTATATAGTAATTGAACTTCAATATATGTGTAAATTACCAAATAGCATAAGTGGACATTTGACTGTTTTATCTACATTGCTAAAAAGTGTTCAAGTTTATATAGCGATTAAAAAAAACTTTAAAAATATTTTGTATTTGGAAAAACAGAGGATCCTGTTTTCTCAGGGCACTCAGCATTGGGCATAACAGTAGTTCTTTAGAGTAACTGACTGGCCCACGCCAGAGGGACTCCCAGATTCCCAGGCTGGGCCCTGGCAAGGCTCTCCACCTCTGCCCACGCTGGGCGCAGACACCGGTTGGCCCCGTCCAGCTGGGAGACCTTGCCTCGGTCATTGCCTCCTGGTTTTCTTCCTCCTTCTCTGCACAAGTCAGAAGGGCTTGGGTGTCGGGGTTCTCTCCTGCTTCAGAGGCAAATCCGAAGACCTGCCTCATCTTGCTCTTCATCACGCAGGAAAGGAAAATGATCTGAGTAGTGGGAGTTAAGGTTCAAGGAAGCGGAGAACTTCAGTTGCCTGATGCTGCCTTCACCTTGGCACCCCGAGGGCTCCACCCTGGAGTGACGTCCTCACTCCCCAGAATCATCCTGCCAGGGTAGGCCCCAGAACAGACAGGAGACCATCTGCAGACAGAGCCAGGTCCAATTCTCTCTGTCCCCCCAGGGCCCACCACCCAGCCAGGTGCTCTAGCAAGCACTTGGTGAATACTTGTTAAATCAAAGGATTGTGAAAACCATCTTCCTCGGCTGAGGAAGGATGGTACACCTAGTGGGTTGAAGTGCGTCCTCTCCAGATTCACATCCACCCAGAACCTCAGAACATGACTATTTGGAGACAGGGTCTTTGCTGATATCAAGAATTAGTTAAGATGAGGTTGGTAGTGGACTAGGGCGACAGAGGTAAGTCCCACAACACGAACTTTCGAAGAAAAGAAGACAGGCAGAGATACACAAAAGGAAGGGGCCACGTGAAGATAGAGGCAGAAATGGGAATTATGCTGCCAGGAACCAAGGCACTCCAGGAGCCCACCTGAAGCCGGAAAAGGCAGGGCAAGACTCTCTCTTGGAACCTTTGGAGAGAGTGTGGCCCCGTCTGGACTTGGGGTTTCTGGTCTCCAGAGCTGAGAGAATAAATTCCTTTGGCTTAAGCCATCGAGTTTGTGGTGATGTGTTATGGCAACCCTGGGAGACTCAAACTGTAGGTGAGAAATCGTTTTCGAAACTGTTTCTGTTAAATCCACAGGGTTTTTTCACACACTCCCTCACCAGCAGGGGTGTTATCCACTGTCAGCATCTCCACCCACCACTGTCTGAGCTTAGCACGCCCTTGAGGCCCTCACACCAAGGTCACTGGGCCATCAGCACATTGGGCAACATCCACCCCAGGCTCCAGCATCAAACAGGACGGAAAGCGCAGGATCAGCTGTGCAGGCCAGGTCGGCTCGCAAAGCCCTCCCCAGCCCCTGAGAAAGACAAGGCGAAGGCAAGAAAACAGGTTCACAGGGGGTGGGGCCGACGCAGCGGGGAACAGCACGGAGACAGGAGCCGGCTCTTCTCTGAGCCCAGGGCCAGGAAGTTCACATTCCCTCTGTGGTCTCACAGAGCTCCAGTCAAGAGATACTTCTTATTATAAAAAAAAAGGAAAAAAATACAGAATTGCACGCTGCAATTGTGTCTGCCTGCCCGAGGCTTCAAACCACCACCCTGGCCACTGAGAAAGAATTCCTTCTACCAAGAGGGTAGGAGGGCGTGGCGGGGCAGAGGGGAGAAGAGACACAGAACACCCGGGGACCCGGGGTGGATACAGACAGATCCAGCGCCGCGCGGCCGAGCGAGGTCAGGAACCAGGGCGTGGCCCGCAGCAGGTACTCAGGCCGCCGGTCATGGGCCACGATGGCCGAGGCGTAGAGGAGACCGGCCAGGGCTGACAGGAACCGGGTCCACAGGTGGATGGAGGGAAATGTCTTACCCCGGCACTGGGCAGAGAGAGGAAGGGGCTGGGCTGGGAGGAGCACTCCACCTCGCCCAGCTCCTTTCAGTTGATTCTAAGACCCAGGGCCCTTGATGTGAGAGGTTGGAGGGCAAGCCCTCTGGCCAATGCCAGCCCCCAAAGGTGTTGTTTCCATTGGGCTTCAAGCTGCTTCCAGGAATTCCCTGGCAGTCTGGTGGACCGCACGCTTTCACTGCAGGGGACACAGGTTCAATCCCTGGTCAAGGACCTAGGATTCCGCAAACCATGAGCCAAGGCCAAAAAAAAAAAAGTTGCCCCCTTTGTCTGGTGAACTCCTATTCATCCCTCAGAACCTGGCTTAAAATCAACTCTGGGAAATCATTCCTTACCGCCTCCACCCTAAGGGGAGCAAGTAATGCCCTCCTCTGGGTCCCTCACACCTGACATATCCCTCTACTGGAGTGCCTCTCACCCTGATCATGACTTAGCTACTTACACATCTGTCTGCCCAACAGAAAGAGAGCTCCTCAGAGCAGGGCTGAGAGCCTCACCATCTCGGTGCCCTGGCACCCGGCACTGGGCAGGGGCCTGTGCATTTCAGTGGGGCAAGCATGAGGAAGATAGAGTTATGGAGAGCCAAGCCCCGACCCTTCTCTTCCTGGGGCCACCAACTCTGAACCAGGCCAGATGGGAAAGTCAGGGAAATTAGAGGTAACATTCTGGTAATGTTGAAGCCAAGGGGGTATTTTTGGAGAATGAGTAATGAATATTGTTTTTTTAAAAAGGAAACATATGTAATATCTATATGTAAGTACCATTTACAGGTATAAAGTCACTTTCTATACACATTAAGTATATAAACATACATGTATTTCCAATTTATACAATTACATAGGTATTTAAATTAACACAGAATACACATATACATGTATATGTATACATATACGTGTTTATATATATATGTGTGTGTATATATATATATATATATATACACATACACTTAGTTTGTTCATTAGATGACTGTATTTGGAGACATGTAGGTCTTGGCTAAGGAATGGACAAAATTTAAGAGAAAAAGCATGTTCTGGCTGATTTTCCCATTTTAGTTTTAATCCTCAAAAAGACTGAATTCCCAGTGGATGGAACTCTGTGTTTTCACTGCCAGGGGCCTGGGTTCAATCCCTGGTCAGGGAATTAGGCTCTCACAAGCCCTGCAGAGCAGCCAAGGAAAAGGAAACAAAGATTCCTCAGGAGTGTTACGTCTCCCTCTGCATCGCTTTTGACTTTGTCCCCAGGCCTCCCTGTTTCTGGCTCGCTACCTGCTGGTGGCTCAGTGTAAAGAATCCACCTGTCAGTGCAGGAGACGCAGGAGATGTGGGTTCGATTCCTGGGTCGGGAAGATCCCCTGGAGATGGAAATGGCAACTCATTCCAGTATTCTTGCCTGGGAAACCTCATAGACAGAGGATCCTGGCGGGCTACAGCCTATGGGGTCGCAAAGAGTCAGACAGGACTTAACGACTAAACAACCACAACAACACCCCTAAACAGACAGCACCTAGCTGGGGAGGGTGACCCCTGGCCCGCTGGCCCCAGAGGCTGCAGGTGGAGTGACACACCTTCCCTTGACCCTTCCTACCTCACACAACGCAGGCAGCACCACTACAGCAAGAAACCTCTGGGGTCCTCCAGTACCCCACCCCATTTTACAGGGGACACTGATGGCCAGAGGGGAAGTGACTTGCAGAGAGGGGCTCAGCGGGGGGAGCCCTCTGCTATCACTCCAGTGCCAACCCACGCCCAGCACCATCTGACGCAACACTCAAGCTCTTGTCAGAGTCGGTACTAGGGATCTAGAGGGCTAGAGCGCTCTGTTTGCCTGTGGCGCTGGGCACGCAGCAGGTGCCTCAAGCATCGCTGCTCGAAGACTGGAACTGGCTTGGGGACTCAAGATGTGGCAGGAGCTTCTCCAGCATACTCGGGCCTGCCTAACCTTTCAGGACTGACGGTTGAGGGGACAACCCACCCGGTGGTTGCCTGGCAAATCTGTGCTGGGGGCTCGAGTGGGCCATGCCTCGGCCGCTCCTGCAGCAGCAATGATTCCCCTTGTTAGCACAGCGCTCTACTGGTTGGAGCATGTTTCAAATCCCTTGTCCCGTTCAAGAACTTGCCCCTGGAAAAATGGGATCTTCTCCCACCAAAGCTACCCAGCCAGACTGCTGCTCAGCGACCCCACCAGGGGTAAGTTAGAAGCAGCTTCTGGGGGATCCAGGGTCTGAGGCCATGCTGGCTCAGCTTCCCATTGCACCCCAATCCTGCTGGCTTTCTTCCTAATGAGGGAACCCTAGCTCTGGGCTTTTGTTCACTGGACCAGACACACTCAGGGCTGGCAGGCCCTCCAAGATTACCCAGCTCAGTCCCAATGCAATCTCCTTTTATCTTCCTGCCAAGGGGTCATCTGGCTTGAATGCCTCTAGTGATGAGGAGCTCACTACTTACTAAAGCAGGAATAATAATACCGATTGCCCTCAACAGCCAGCCACTGTGCAAAGTGTCTAACCCATGGAGTCTTCTTCTCACTGAATGGGAAGTGGCCCTCCCAGTAACCTCTTGGTTATTGATTCTGGTCTTGGTTCTGATCACTGAGACCACAGAGAACAAGGCTACTCTTTCTGCCTCAAGACAGCCCTCCATTTCCTGTATCCATGAACTCCCTATTTTCTAGGCCAGATACAGTCGCTAAGTAAGAAGTGTTGGGCAGACCCCAAACATCTGGCACACAGAGAGAAGTAAAACAGAAAGGGCCACTGCTCTCACGGTGCCGACCCTCTGCTGGGGAACCAGGCAGCCACTTGGCAAATAGCTAAAGGAGCTAATTTCAGGCTGTGATAAATGCGATCAAGAAAATGAAGCAGAGGGAGGGACCGAGAGGTGGGGCCGGCCTGGGGTATTTTAGGGGGGCTGGTGTTATGGGTTGGATTGAGTTTCCCCAAAAAGACATTGGAATCCAACTCCCAGAGCTAGTAAATGTAGCCTTATTTAGAAGTAGAGTCTTTGTAGATGATCAAGTTAAGCTGAGGTTGTTAGGATGAGTCCTAATCCAAGATGACTATGTCCTTATGACAAGGGGAAAGTCAGATACAGGAACGTATGGAGAAAAGCCCACGTGAAGACTACATGCATTTGTGCGTACGTGCACACACGCGAGCACGTGCACACACACACACACATAGAACACCACACAAATCCTGGAGTTGTGCTGCCACCAGTCAGGGAATTAGCAGAAGCTCGGAGAAGGGCCTGGAACAGATCCCTCTCTAGGGCCTTCAGAGGGAGCGTGGCCCTGACACTTTGGGGTCGGGCCTCTGGCCCCTGAGACTTAAAGACAATACATTTCTGTTGTTCCCAGTCTGTGACACTTTGTTACGGCAGGCAAAGGAAACTTTTATAATACAGGTGGCCAGGGCACCACAGCAGTTCCTTCAAAGGTTGTCATGTGACACAGCTTCCCAGCCCCCACACTACCCTGGAGACCCCTCCCAGGGGGGCTGAACTGAGCACAGTGCTCCCCATGCTCACCTCCATTGATCTGGAGATCACACCTTTGCTGAGGAGGCCCGGTGCCCTGGGAGGTTTCAGGCTGCAGCTCTCAGAGCGCTCAACTAAGACCCCGACATCCCCAAATCCTGTTCTCCTGGAACTGCTATTAAATCACAGCGCTGAGACTTCCCTGGCGGTCCAGTGGCTAAGACTCTGCACTCCCAGTGCAGCGGGCCCCAGTTCAATCCCTGGTCAGGGAACGAGATCCCACATGCTGCAACTAACAGTTTGCATGCCACAACTAAAGATCCTACGCGCAGCAAAAAAGATCAAAGATCCTGAGTGCTGCAGTTAAGACCTGGCCCAGCAGAATAAATTAATATAAAGAAAACACAGTGCTCTTGGGCAAGTGACCATTTCAAGACTAAAGGATGGGCTGGCACATTTCTGGGGTCGCGTAATATGTGGCTCTCTTGCAGGTGCCCTCGTGCCTTGGTGGCCTTTCCTGCGCTCTCCTCTGCCCCTATGCCTCCCCTCACCTCTGCTTCCTCGGGCCCCACCCTGCCTTCCTGCCGACCCGGGCACCCCTGGCACCCAGTGGTGTCAACAGTCTGCACCCTCATTCATTTGCGCAATGCAAAGGTTTCTCTCCCTCTTTTCCAAAGCCCCAAACATTTGATTCTCTTTCTTAGAGCATTCGAACACCTTGTTTTCCATTTCTGTGTCTTCTTGAGACTGAGCTTGCCAAGGGCAAGCGGGGCATCTCAAGTCATGTCTGTTTCCCCCAGGGGAGTGGCCAACACAGGGCTTCCTTTACCCCAGACACCGGGAAAATACCTGCCAACAAGACACACTCGAATATAAAGAGCCCTGGAGCTGAACAATCCTATCTTCTAAAACCTCAAACCTTTTCATTCCTTAATAGGATGTTTGTTCATCCAAACCCAGGGCTCCTTCCTGAGAGCCTGCTTCTCATTTGCTACAAGAAATGGAGTGAGCACAGAGCCCACCTGCTGTGAGCCTCAGGATCCCCGGAGCCTGGGGCCAGCTGTCCTCTGGCCTGCACACACATATACACACACAAACGCCCCCCACCACATACATATAGACACGGCTCTGCACACGGGGACATCACCTCTCCACCCCAGTGACCTGGAACTGGGAGGATGGTCCCAGATGCCCTAAGACCTGCAGGGGTGACCCACGGCCCCAGCCCCAGGCTCACGATTCTGGAGAGTGGGCGGATCCGGGAAACCCAGGCGCCCAAGGCCGCGATGCCACCCAGCAGGAAGCCGAGGATTTCCGTATTGTCCTGTGGGAACAGTGATGCACTCAGCACCCTGGGGAGACGCCCAGGCACCCTAGGCCCGCCTTTTCCTGCTTTAAGGTGGTTCTTCCCAGCAAAGCGTAAGCCTGAACCCCACCCCCCGGATACTAGTTGGGACTGTGTGGAGGGGAGGGACCCACATTCCCCGACATCATACCCCTTTCCCCCAGCCCGAGCAGGCCTGGCCTCACCTGTACCAGGATGCCCAGCAGCCTCCGCTGCGGCCCTTGGTCGCGGCCTGAAGCCCTCGGGACAGCGGCACACAGAGCCCAGCCCGGGCCCAGGCTCAGTGGCAAGACCAGAGCAAACACGCTGGCCCGGAGCTGCCGCCTCCTCTTCCTCTCCCGGGAGCCCCGACCTGCGCCAGACACCAAGATCCTGCTCAGCTGCCAGGATCTGGAACCCGACAGCCGTGTGGGAAGAACTGGTGTTGACCCCAGCCACAAGGCCAGGACGGGCTCCCACATTGTTCCACAAGCCAGATCTTGCCCACTCTTGAAGGGCCTGTGGTCGTGCCCTCTCATTCCCCCCATCCCCCATGCCTGGTGCTCCTCCCCTTCCCCAGCCTTTCATGTCTTTTTATGTTTCAAAGCAGGTCAGCATTATCCTTTATCACACACATCTGCTGTTCATCCTAGACTGGAGCCCGCTAAGGGCAGGCACTGTGCCCAGGCAGCTCTAGAATCTGCGCAGAGCCCGGCACTGAACGGAACCCGCACAAGCCTGGTGAATGCACCACGAGGGGGCGGAGTGGTGCCAAGGCATCAAAACTGGGGGCAGGAGAAGCATCGTCTTTGAAAGTCTCCTTGAAATAGAAGGAAGATCATCTGCTTAACAATTCCAAAAAGTGCACTCCTCCTCTGGGCAGCATTGAGCCCAAGGACATCTTACATTACGCCCTGGTTCAAGCACTTCCTTTTAAGACAAGGGTCCAAGCGTATTGATGCCCTTGTCAGGAATGTCTGGTCCTACATACTCCCAGCCTACCCATCCCATCTCAGTCACCTCCAGCCTCTGCTCTGCCTGAGGCTGGGACGTGCACACTGGGTATCACTGTCTGTCCCCTACGCCCTGCCCCCTCCTTCTTCCTGACCTCTTCCCAGGCTGCTCTTTCATCTGGAAAGCCCTTTCCTGCGGTCCCAGTTCCAGCGTCACCTTCTCCCGACACTGCAGACCCTCCCCTCCTCTGCGGCCCACTGTGTGCACACACCCTCACTAGCAGCGCTAACTGCCTCTTAGCGCCCTGACTCCCTGCTCTGGCTGAGGCCGGGGAGCTCGCCCATTCATCTGTGCCAGGCAGGGGCCCAGCTAGGGCACGACAGGGAGAGGTGCTGATGAATGAGATGAGTGGACGATGAAGTCAGGAACAGGTAGCAGCACACTCACCCGAACTGGACTTGAATTTGGAACCACAGACTGGGAAGAGAACAGACACAAAGGTCACCAGGTCGGCAGCTGCCAGGTGGGCACCAGTGAAGACCTGTGAGCAAAGGAAAGGTCTTGGTGTTCAAACCTCTTTCAACAACTGTAGTACCTCTCGTTCTGGATCTCCTCCACCACATATGTTCCACCGAAATAGGGTTTCCAGGGATGCCTCCAACTCCATCAAGGTTGGTTATCACCTCCATTTGAGGAAATGGAGTTTTGCTTAAGTGACCAAAGCCACTATAAAAATGTTCATCATAGAGATAGGACAAGATCCCAGCCCGCCACACTTTCCATTGTACGGCGAAGTCTTGTTGTGCAACTTTGGCCCAGCCACTGACCTTCCCGGGGCCTCTGTTTCCTCATCTGTAAAGCAGGGATAATAACAGCACCTCTTTCAGTGTGAAGTAGATGATATGAGCTGACACATGGAAAGTTGCTTAGGCCAGTGACTGGAGGAGGGTAAGACGCACCTACGGAAACTTGCAGTAGCTACTGACAGTACAGTTGACACTTGAACAGCTCAGGGGTTGGGGCGCTGACTTCTTTGCAGTGGAAATTCTGAGTGTCACTTTACAGTAGATCCTCTGTATCTGGTGTTCTGCATCCATAGATTCAACGACCCGTGGATCATGGGGTGCCATAGTGTGTATTATTTGAAAAAAATCCATGTATAAGTGAATGCACACAGTTCAAATCCATGTTGTTCAAGGGTCCACTGTATTTAGTGCTTACAGCATGTGTTCTGGGGTTTGAATCCTCACACTGTTACTTGTAAGAGAATGACTTTAGCAGGGTTATTGAACCTCTCTACACCTCTCCACACCTCTTTCACACCTGATGGGTAAAACAGGGATGATGCGAGCACCCATAATTTAAGGATTAAGTGAGTTAATATATGAAAAGCCCTTACTATTTAATAAACATCAGCTATTATTATCGGACTCGAGTTGAACTTCATTATCGTCTATCAGCTAGTGAGAATTGCCTCCAAAATGAAAGGTGATTTGTTTCTGATAGAATGCTGCTGACAGCAGGCTCTAGAACTCTCCAAATCTGTGTCTGACCACCAGGCCGCCCTCCTTCACATCTCCCTGGGTGGCATAAGGCCAGGACCAGCCCCCTTAAGTGGGGCCCAAAGGTCCTTCTTCCTTGGGATATATGTTTCAAGACAGGCTTTCAAGACAGGCCCCTTTCTACACAGATTTGTTTAAGGGCCCAGACTTTGGAAAAACTCAAAATGTTTCTCACTTGCTCCAAAGCCTACATCACCACCTGAGAAAGGATTCAGATACCCCTGAATGAGTGGGGACAGTGCCTGGGCTCTAAAAAACGGCAACAGCAAACATCCTTTTTTTTTTATTTAATTGGACATCTACTATGTGTCAGCTCCTATTTTAAGTGCTGGATCGGCACTGAATAAAAGTTGTTGCCCTTATGAAGCTGACATTCTAGTAAGGGTTAACATGCAATAAAGAATCAGTTCAGTTCAGTTCAGTAGCTCAGTCGTGTCCAACTCATTGAGACCCCATGGATGGCAGCACGCCAGGCCTCCCTGTCCATCACCAATTCCTGGAGTAGACATAATGGATAAAGTAAAGCAGATGGTATATTAAGGGGGAAATGAGCAGGATGAGGGGTCTGGAGCAGATGTGGGAGAGGTAAGGCACAATTTTAAACAGACGGTCAGGAGGTCTTATTGAGAGATTTTTGAGCAAAGACTTGAAGGAGGTGACCAGTGAGCTGCATGTTTATTGGAGGAGCAGAAAGACCAGCAGGGGCACAGGCCCTAGAGCAAAGCTGCTTCGCGTGGGAAAGGAACAAACTAGAAGCCACTGTCACCTGTGGTCCCAACGCACCTGGATGGTGAGCTGTTTGGCCAGAATCGCCCCAATGGTGTCACACAAGCTGGTCAGGAGGCAGCACGCAGCCCACAGCACTGACTGGTCCCGTCCAGATTTCCTCCCACATCTCAGATACAGAAGCCTGAGGGGACAGACAGGGGTGTGGACAGAATACAGAGATGTAAGGTTGGGCTCCCAGAGCAGGGGTCTGAAAAAGGCAGCTGTGACTTTGTGTCCTTACGAATCACTTTCTTCCCCAGATATTCAGCAGGTGTTTTTGACCTTAGTTTAGAGATGCAAAAAGTAAATGATGGAAAGGACTCTAGCCTCTGACCAACAAGCCCACAGCAAGAGCCAGGCCTCACAAAAGGAGTTTTCTTCCCCCTACCAATCTGGCAGCCTCAAATTTACAACCCACCTCTCAGCACTGACAAACGAGCTGTCAGCTTTTGTTTTTTTTTTTGAAAGGAAACAGGAGAGTTATAAAAGTAATCCAATCATCGCAGTTTCACTGCAGAGCAGAGTTAATTGCCTAAATGAAAAAGGCAACTTGTTTCTTTGCAATTAACATGAAATCCTTCTAATCCATCTGTGCAGTGAGGTGGCTCTGTTTCTGCCAGCCATATCTGAGTTGATTTCATTTTGGGTGCACGGTCTTCACACACGGGGGGAAGACTCCTCAAAGATGCCCTGGCACTTTGGGTTGACCTCCCTCTAGGGTCCCCCACTGCTGGCTTCTCTCCCTTACTGTTCACTTTCTATCCCCACATTCGCCCAGGAATAAGTGCAGGAAGGCAGAACAAGCTGGAAGGGGCCAGATGTCTCTTTGTCAGCATCATTAGTCAGATCTTGGAAATACTTTGTACGAGATGTTTCCCTGCCAACATTTTTACAGGTTTTACAGGGAGACTGAGGTACAGTTGCAGCTCTGGTTTCCTTTCCTTTAATCATTGGGTAGGACTCACTCCACATCATTAGGACCGTCTGGCCAGTTCTGAGCATCAGCCCTCGGGACCATTCTATGAGGACAGAAGGCTACTGGGCTCCCAAACACTCCTGACCTACATGATGAAGCCCAGAGCTCCCAGTGGGAATGCCAACTCTTGATTTTGAGTCCTGAAACTGTCTGAAGGCCCGAGTGAAGACTCTACATCAGAGACTCTCCGAGTTGGACACAAGTTAGAAATAATTCATTTCAACCCTCCCATTTGAGAGAAGAGAAAACGGAGGCCTATGGTGAAAGGTGAGTTAATGGCAGGCCTTCTACTTCACTTGTGGAGCCCCTGCATATGCCCCGCTGCTCTTCAGCCACTTCTCCAGCTCTCAGGGATCAGGGACCCCGCGCAGGCCCTGATCCAGCCCCTACACAGCTGAGGCAAGGTGAAAAGGCAGAGGCTCTGCTCTCGGGCCAGCCAGTGGGCATTCTCACAGAAGCTCCGTAAACTCTCCAAACTTAGTTCGTGGAGAGTAAGGTGTCTGATAACACCCATCTCAGAGGGTGGCGGTGAGGAACATGTGAGATAATGCAGGTCAACTGCCTCCTTAGTTCCCATCCTCTGATCTGGGTAGCCCCTCACAAGCCTGCCCCTTCCAGTAGGTCCTGCCTGGGGTTTCGGTTCTCCCCATTCACTCAGGCAAGTTAGTTAACTTGTCAGAACCTCAGGCTTCCTCATCTAAACAGAGTCAATGACAGTCCCGGCCTCTCGGGGTGGTGGCAGGGATTGGTGAGTTAATGATGGCAGGACTAGGCGCTCAGCAAATGTTCCAAGTGTTTTCTTACTCATGGCCTGCAGGCTCTCTCCAGCAACATCAGACTTGAGGTGAACACGATTGAGTGGTGAAGGTAAGCAGGTGTCAGCCTCCCTGGGGGCTCCCCCCGCCCCACCTAGGGAATACATGGCAGGGTACCATCCTCCAGAGCTTGGAACAGGGTGGCAGAAGACCTAGAGACCATCTTTAGTCAGACATCACCCTTAGAACCCAGGTTATGGTGATCACTCAGCCAGACCACTTCAGGTGTTGGACAGACCAGGGCAAAGTGTGTGGCCAGGGTTAGATAATTGCCTCTCCCCTTCTCAGCTAGGAGGGCCGTGGGTAAACTGAGGCCAGAAACATTGAGAGACAGGCCCATGTCCTCTGCCAAGGGTGGATGGCAGTGCGGGAGCAATAATAATGCTGTTTAATGAGCACTTAGGAAGAGCTCTACGAGTACTAACTCACTGGATCCTCCCAGCCGGTCCTATGTGCTAACATTCCCATTTACGTGAGGAAAAGTGAGCCCCAGGGACTTTACAGCTCGCCCAGCTCACAGTCAGTCAGTGGGGGAAAGGCTGACAAGAGAACCCAGGACTGGCGGCTTCCAGCCCACGGTCCCGTCCACCATACCACCCAGCCTTCTGTGGGCTCCCAGCCCAGCCTCCTCGTTCGTGGAATCCGGAAAGAAGTATCTGATTTCAGTCTACAGCAAATGTTCCTTTCGACCCTGGAATTGTCCTGCCTCTTGCATCCTCCCTTTCTGCCCTCCTCCTTCTAGGTTCCCAAGAGCGAGTCAGCAGGGCCAGCGCCCCGTTCCCCCCGCGGCCGCCCGGGGCCCCATTACAGCACGTGAACGGCGATCCAGCAGGAGGAGGCGCAGATCCACAGGCCGAAGGAGATGCAGACACGGTGGCGGGCGAAGCAGCGGTCCAGGTAGTCCCAGTCCCAGAGCGCGGGCGCCGGTGCGGGGCTGGGCGCCTCCCCCATGGCTGGCTCCATTCCGCCCAGTCCGGTGCCTGCGCCTCCGCGGGCAGCCTCCCTTGCTGCCCGCGGCCCCGGCGCTGCCGCCCCGCACGCCCCCTTCTGTGTTCGGTTCCGCCGCACCGGGCCGGTCCGATCACACCGTCCGCCGGCCGGAGATGGGCGCGCCTAGCTCCGCGCTCCCGGGGGCGGGCGGCGGCGGTCAGGACTCCAGGGAAAAGTTTCCGCAACCGTGCTGCTCCCCACCACTCCTGCTATTGTCGGGGGTTTGCGGGCCGGAGGTCGCCCCCAAGCGGCGGGAGCCCGGAGCAGCCTCAGCACAAAGGCTGCGCTCCCTGCCCCCCAGACAGCGGCGGCGCGGCTCCGCGGACCCCTTCGCTGTCACCCATCCCCCAAACCCGAGGCCAGAGCGGAATACAGTGACCTGCCAGCCCAGTGGGAGGCACCTTCATTACCCCACATTTCCTGAGCCAAACAATACATACTTGGCTCCTGGCGAGCCGCCTGGACTCTGGTGATCCCAAGAGGTGTGAGATCGTTAAAACGGCACTATACAAAGGGTGCGGTGGGAGGCCAGCAAAGAGAAATCGCACGCGCTCCCCGGCATCCTCTCTCACCCTCTTTTCTGAGGCTGTAGCTGCAGCCTGCGTCCCCACCATTTGCCCAAGCGGGGCTCTAGAAGTGAAGTCCTCCTGGGCGGCGACCCCCGCAGTCAGGGAGCCCCCTGATTTTTGCAATCTGTCCCCTCCCATTCAGACACATGGCCAACTCAAGTACATAGGACTATTTTTCTTGAAAATAAACTATAATAATTAAAAATTTTCCTTGTTGATTTTAATAACTTAAAGACTTGACTGTATCATTTCTTTTTTTAATTTTTAAAGATAGCTTTATGGAGATCCCATTCATATACCATAGGAAATTCACCCTTTTAAAGTGTACTAGTCAGTGGTTTTTAACATATCCACTGAGTTGCTGCAGCCACCATCATTACCTAATTTTAGAACATTTTCATTACCTGGCAAAAAACCTAGTACCCACTAGCAGTTACTCTTCATCCCCCTCAAGCACTCCCAGCCCTAGACAGCTTCTGTCTCTATGGATTTGTCTATGCTGGACATTCCTTATAAATGGAATCATCCAATAGATAACCTTTTAGTGACTGACTTCTTTCACTTAGCATCATGTTTTTAAGGCTCATCCACATTGTGGCATATATCAGTATGTTATTTCTTTGTTATTTATTTGACTGCACCGGGTCTTGGTTGTGGTACTCAGGAGCTTCCATCTTCATTGAGGCATGCAGGGATTTAGTTCTCTGACAGGGATTGAAGTGGGGTCCCCTACATTGGGAGTTTGGAGTCTTAGGGCCTGGACTACCAGAGAAGTCCCCATTTCTTTTCATGACTAAAAAATAATCCACTGTATGGATGTACCACATTTTATTTATCTTTCCATCATTTGATGGACAATTGAGTTGTTTCCACTTTTTGGACATTATGAATAATGCTGTTATAAACATTTGTGTACAAGCTTTTGTGTGGCTATAGGTTTTCAGTCTCCTGGGCATATACCTGGGTGTGGACCCAGCATACACCATGCTGGGTCCCATGGTGACTCTATGTTTCAAGTTTTGAGGAACTACTGGACTGTTAACCAAAGTGGTTGTGCTATTTCACTGGTTCATTCATCTTTAAAAGTTATGATCACTCACAGGAGAAATGAACACTGTCGGTCTTTGTGCTAAGAGCTGGGGACACACTGTTGGGAAAAACAGACATGGTTCCTACCTATCTTTACAGTTCAGTAGAAGAGAAAGATATTAAATAGGCAATTGAGCAAATGGAGATTAAATTAAAATATTAAACAAAAGGGGCCAAAATTCAAATAGTAAAATGATTAAGACGAAGTGATATAAAATTAATGCCAACTAAAACAGTTGGTTCAGTGGTAAAGAATTCACCTGTGAATGAAGGAGATGCAGGTTTGATCCCTGGGTCGGGAAGATTACCTGGAGGAGGAAATGACAACCCACTCCAGTATTCTTGCCTAGAGAATCCCATGGACAGAGGAGCATGGCAGGCTACTGTCCATGAGGTTGCAAAGTTGAATACAACTGAGCACACATACACGCAAGACAAGATTAGAGGGATAAATTAAAAGGGAAAATATATGTAACCCAAGTTTCTCATAGTCTATAAACAATAAATACTCATAGTCTAATCTCTGTCTTCTGGTTTTGTTTTTGTCTTCTGGGTTTTTGTGGGTTCTTCCGGTGTTTTCCTCTGTGCTTACAAATGGTCGTCTCTGCCTTGATCTAATCACCCATGAGTGCTGACTGGTGGCCATCTAGATCCTGGGTTCCTCTGGTGCCTACAGCTCCCAGAGGCAGGTCTATTCCAAAATAATCTATCCCACTAGTTGTCTTGCTAAGGTGAGGACTGTCCACGCAGTCTGGTGTCACCCTTTTACCAGGCCCAAGATCACCTTATACTATCAGTTTTGTTTAGACCTGAAATTACCAGTTTAACTTGATTCAGTCTTTATTATGGTTTCCTTCTCCCTCAGCATCAGCATAAATCCTGGGGAAATGGACCTAATTTGAAAGTTGTTGCAGGGAATTCCCTGGCAGTCCAGTGGTTAGCACTTAAGGGTTTAAGTCCTACAGCTGTCCGGCCTGAGCAGTTGAGGCGGTGTGGCCCACAGATTGTCAGTATCAGAATCGCTCTGGTTGCCCTTCAAAAAGCAGACCTACTAAATCCAGCTCCCTGGGTGTATGTCCTTGGAATCCACATGGATTAGTGTCCTGGGTCCGCTGAAACAAATCATCACAAATCTCGTGGTTTAAAGCAACAAAAATGCATTCCCACACAGTCCTGGAGGCCCAGAGTCTGCAATCAGTGTCACAGGACTAAAATCAAGGTGTTTCCTGGGCTGCCTGCTCTATTCCCTAGTGGCATCCGGTATCTGGTGCCTGCCCTACTCCCTGGGACCTTAATGGAGAAGCTCTTTCTTGTCCCCCCTCTTCCAGCATCTGGTGGCTGCGAACACTCCCTGCCTTGCGGCTGCATCACTCTAATCAGTCTCTACCTCCTGTCTCCCTGTCTATATTGCCTTTTTCTCGTCTATGTTTAATCTCCCTCTGCCTCTCTCTTATAAAGACATTGTGTTTGCAGCCTTCTCAAATAATCCACAATAATCTCCCTGTCTCAAGATCCTTAACTAAATCATGCCTGCAAAGACCCTTTCTTCATACAAGGTAACATTTACAGGCTCCAAGGATCAGGACTTGATATCTTTGGGGGCCATCATCCAGCCAACTGCACTGTTTTATGCAAGCTTCCTGGGAGATGCTTATGAGAAACTGGGTTATTAGATGGCCCTCGCTTGGGGTGGAGAAACTGTGGGGAGCTGTTTCCAGTCACTGGATATCTGGGGACATCGGACGATGCAGTAGAAAGTGTGGGTTTTGGATAATATTGGACTGGAATTCACATTCTGCCTCCTTGCAGCTATGACTGGGTAAAGCGCTGATCCTTTCTGCATGGGAGTATTCTTACCTGTAAACTGATAACAAGAGTACCTACCATAGAGTTACTGTGATTATTAGAGATCCTGCAGATAAAGCATCTGGCACATGCCAACTCTGGCAATTATTACTGTTATTGTCTTTCCCAGGAAGAGCCTCAGATCTACTTAAAAACAAATGTGGTTTAGGGACTTCCCTGGTGATTCAGTAGCTGGAGCTCTGTGTTCTGGTCTGGGAAACAGGTCCCACGTGCCGCAACTAAAGATCCCTTGCACCGCAACTAAGACCCAATGCAGCTAAGTACATACATACATATATATTATATATAAATGTGGTTCAATGAAAATGTGAAAAGGAACGTCAGCTAATGGAGACACAGCTCAGTTCTTTTCTACCATGTGCCAGGAGCATCTGTCTTCTGCCCCTGGGTCTCCAGAATTATCCACAGCTCAGAACTCCCAAATTTCAGTCTCACATAGCAACTGCCTATGTGACATGTCTTGCATGTCTTAATTTAGCACATCTACAACGAAACTGGACGATTTTCCTTTCCAAACCTGCTCCACCAGGATGGTATTCCCTCACAGGCGATCGGGCGTCTTGGTCCTGAGGGGCCCAGTGCCTGCTCTACTCCTCTGTTAGGAACTTTCAAGCATGCTAAGTGTTGTCTTTCTACCAGGCTGTGAGCACCCTGCCGTGGTTGAGTTCGTATCTGTCTCCGAAACTCGGTGCTTGGCACATAGTAAGGAAAATACATATGGAATGAAAATATTGACTTTTAAACAGGCCAGAGAGTGATATGTACTTAGGAACCTACTGGAAATGCTCTAACAATACCTAGTATTGTGTATGTGAGTACACTGGGGAAGGCTTTCAAGAAACGCATGAGTTGAGCTTTGAGATCAGGTGCTCCTGCTGGCAGGAAGGGCTGGCCTGTTGGGCACAGGCGGCAGCAGAGATGCTGCAGCAGGTAGAGCCGGGTGAGAGGGGCAGTCGGTCCAGTCCCAAGGGAGCCAGGACTCCGTCTGGTAGGGGACACTTAGGATGATGAATTCTAACCAACTCCCTCCCTCCCAAATTCTTTCAGTACCTTCCATGGGGCTCTCCACCTGATCCACCCTCAGGAAGCGACTCAGTTCCTTTACATGGCTCCTCCCAGGCCATGTCTTCTGGCCATAGTCCACGTTGACAAAAAGGAAAACTTAACAAGGGAATCGTAACACACGTCCTCCCTACACAGCTCGTAAGCACATCCTGTTGGCAGAGGCACTGCAGCCACTGGCATTGTCCTAAAGAAGGAAGGGCTGCAGCAGGCTGACCTGTCTTGCAGGAGCGGGCAGCCAATCGGGCCATAAATCCCAACTGCCTGTGAAGGGGGGTGGGGTTGGGGTGGGGGTGGGGGGGGTAGGTGGCTGTGGGCAGGTGAGCAGTTCAACAGCTTTTCTTTTCTGAGGACACACTGTCTCCTGTCAGTGTTTATAAAATGCATTATATAGAGAAAGAGCTTGTGGCTACTCCTCAAACAATAACATAAAAAAAGTTCATCAATTTACCTGCTATGTAGAAATTAATTCTATGATAATGCATTTTAAAAAAGTATCTCTATCTATCTACTTGGCTACCCCAGGTCTTAGTTGCGGCACACAAGACTTTTGATCTTTGTTGCAGCATGCAGGGTCTTAGTTGAGGCATGTGGGATCTAGTTCCCTGATCAGGGATCTAACCTGGGCCTCCAGCACTGGGAATGTGGGGTCTTAGTCACTGCATCACTCAGGAAATCCCTAAAGAATGCATTTTGAAATACTGGCCATTCCAAATCTTAAAACAGTCCCATTGTGGACAAATTGGAGTCGAGATTGAAGCAAGTGATAGGATTGTTAGGGTCCTGAGTTCTATTTAGAACTTTGTCATCAACACACTGTACAATCTTGTTTTTAATAAAAAATTTAAAAATTTTATTTAGGGACTACTGTGTGAGCACTTTATGCTAACATAATGCCTTAAAAAAAAAAAAAAGGAATAAACTATTTTGTTGTTGTTTTGGCCATGCCAAGCATCATGTGAGATGTTGCCCCACAAAGGATAGAACTCAGGACTCCTGCAGTGGAATAGGGGTCTTAACCACAGAATCAGGTTAAGTCTTTGATTTTAAATTGCTCAAAATGGTTGTTGTTACTTTTTTGTAAATGGAGACTTTTTTGAAAGCACTTTCCTTCCTGTATGGCCTCTCACCCTCAACTAGTATACAGTACATTGAACACACAGACAACAAATGGCTCTTAAGGGTGGAAATTTGAAGCAGTTTCACTTCTCCACAAAGACTGAAGAGGGGAAAGGGCTAACAGAACAAGGTGGCACTTGGATCTCTGGCCTGCTATCAGGTTTCTCCTGTTCACCCACAAAGGAAACATTGCTATTGGCTTCTTGACAAAACTTGACTTCCTTCTAATTTCCTGAAAGTAAATAGATGGCAGATGTAGAGCAGGTTCTGCTTTAAAAGAATGGTATGTCCCCTGTAATAAAATATTGGAAAAAATTAAAAACAATAAAGTGATAATGACTGCCCTTCGAAAATCTCAAAATACTAATCTCTACAAGCGTGGGCATACTATTTAAAAATTTCAAGTCAGCTTAGGAAGACATACTCCAGGCAGAAGCAAAAGTGAAAACAGAAATTCTCCTTCAGGATGTCCCAGTTTGGGTTCCTCAGACTCTAAGCAAAGACTAAGGTTCAGTTAAGTTTATTTGGGAGGCAAATCCATGAAGCAAAAGCAAGGAAGCAAAGTCAGACAGTGTATGGAGAAGAGCAAGGAAATTTGGGTTAACAAGATAGTTTAACCATGAGCAAATAGGGCTCCGTTCCACCAAGGATCTTGTGATAAACATAGAATGCTGCGTGACAGGAACCCGGGGTACTTACCAACCAGCCCCCACTCCTTACTGGTTGGGGGTTACCCTGTGGAGGTTCAACCTCCTGCACTTCCAAGCTGCCCTTTGTGAGGGCTGAGCAAGCTTCTGGGGTGCAGGAAAAGACCTCCTGTGGGAAAGAAGGGAACACAGGGCTTGTGGCAAGCTGTCAGCCCGTACAGGAGCTGGGCTGTGGGTAGGTGGATGCCATGATGCTAAGGGATGTGGAGTGTGTGTGTGGGGTGGTGGTGGCAAGGGGGCATCTGCAGAGACATCCATCTCTTACAAGCTGTACTTGCTAGAAAACTGGTTCCGGTACTATTGACAGTTGTTATCCACTCACGAACGTTTGACTTCTCAAAGGTACATCTCTAGAAATGCCCTCACATTTATGCTAACCTTTTCAACAAATGGTGCTGGGTCTACTGGATATGCACATGTGAAAGCATTAAGCTGATACACTTCCTGACTCACACTACCTACAAAAGTTAACTCTGGTCCAGAGACCTGAATTTAAGAGCTAAAACCCTAAAACTCTTCAGAAAAAAAATATGTGTATCTTAGTAACCTTGCATTTGGCAATACTTTAATTCTAACACCAAAGCACAAGCAACCAAAGAAAAAAGATAAATTTAGATTTCATCAAAATAGAAAAGTTGGTCAATAAGTATTTGTTAAATTGGTGAATAAAAAATTTTAAATTCCCCAGATAGAACACATTTTCAAATATACCAAATATATTACAGTCAGTTAAAGGCAAGTCTTCTTAACTGTGAATTCATGAACTTTGGGGTCTATGAATCTCTGGATACATTTTGCAATTTTGCGTAGGTGGTAATGCACATTTTTCTGGAGAAAGTGTCCATAACTTCCATTAAAGTTCCAAAACCATCTATGACACAAAAAAGCACATGCTCCCCTCTGGGGTGGAGACTCATGTAGACAGTAATCTTCAGTAGGTCATGCTCTCCACAGGGTTTAAAACTCACCCATGCCAACCCCCGTTCCAAGATCTGATATGCCTTCTGCCATATCAGGGGTGTAAGTTGGGTATGTGTTTGAGGTTGAGTATCACAAATTTAATCATGCAGTAAAAAAATCCAGCCATGTTTTAGCAAATTAAAATCATTTAAAGAATGTGAAATGTCCAAATAGCAATAAATCTATATGAGTCAATAAAAAACCCACCAAGTAAAAACTGAACTTTAATATCTTTCCCCCAAATTCCCAATTTATAAATTACTATGCATTTGTGTATATATTTACACAAATATACATCATAAATTCCCTCATCTTAAATCAGCCTTCCACAGGAGCAGGGTTCTGGGAACCTAAGACAATGGCTGGTCTGAGCTGGTACTCTGAGGAGGCCCTCGGTCTTGACACCAGCTGCTCTGTGTGCATCACCAGGGTCCACTCTATAGCACCACAGATGCACAGCAAAGGTGCCAGTTTTGCTGCAGTCCAAGTTCATGGATCCAGGTGCTTATAGAGTCTGCGGCTTTTCTCTTTTTTATTTCTGTTGCCATGTTTTTTCCAGGGCTTCCCAGCCCCCCTCTCAGAGCTCACAGTAGCTGCTGTCACCAAGCCACTCCCAGGCTTGTAGCCCATCACAGCCTGAACTCCTTTGGTCAGAGCTCTCACATTTTCCTAGGAAATAAGGGAAGATAGTAATGGCGGTGTCAGCAATCTCTTTCAGAGGATACGCACAGAACTGCTTGTAGAGAACTACAGGATAGTGGACTTCCATCTCTAACTGCTCTTCTTTCTCTCCCCATTCCCAAATTAAGTTTCTCAGAGTTTTGTCTTCCATTCACTCTGCCTTCAACTTTTGTTTAGTTCCATGGCTTCAAACACCATCTATAACAATCCTCATATTACCAGCTATTTTTTGGAAATCTCTCTTGATATCAAAATTCTACTTGTGCAACTCAGTTAGAAGCTGACTCTACATTCTTTAATTTCAGCCAGTGGTATAAGAACCTGCTCAGCCGCCAAGATGACACACTCTCTTCTTATCTGTCACAACAGTTAGGCACTGAGTTCTGTGGACTCCAGTCTCTAGAATTTCGTACATCTTCCCTTCTTATCCATCCCCACTGCTTTAACCCAGGGGTTCACTGGTTTTTACTGGACCACTGCAAGACTCCTTGAATCCAGAGTCCACACTTCTATCAGAGTTCTCTAATCTGTATCTAAGTCCTGTCCTCAGAGATCTCTGAAGGTTCCATGTAGACTGGGGAATCAAGTCCATATTCCCTACAATGGCACACAGAGTCACCTGCAACATGGGTTCTATGCCTATAAAGCCCACACTCCCATATCTTTTTGCCTCTGTTCACCAACTCCTTCTGCCTGGAAATTTCATCACTTCTTCTTCCCACTGACACATTTTCATTTGTTTCTCAAAGCCTAGCTTAAATATCACTACCTTCTGTAGTTTGGCAAGGATGTGGAGAAATTAGAACCCTCATACATTGCTGGTGGCAATGTATAGTGGTATAACCACTTTGGAAAAAAGTGTGGCAGCTACTCAGACAGTTAACTATATAGCAATTCCAATGACCCAGCAATCCTACTCCAAAGTATGTACACCCAAGAGAAATGAAATACATGTCCACAGAAAAACCTGCACATGAATGTACACAGCAGTTGTATATACAAAAAGTAGAAACAACCCAAATATCTATTAACTGACAAATGAATAAACAAAATGTGGTATATTCCACTTAATGGAATATTACTTGGCAATAATAAACAAAATATGTACGGATACATGAATGAACCCTGAAGCTATTAGGCTTAGCTAAAGAAGCCAGCCACAAAGGATCATACAGTGTATGATCCCATTTATATGAAATGTCCAGAACAGACAATCTGTTTATAGAGAAAGTAGATGACTGGTTGGAAGGGGCTAGGTGAAGTAGGGAATGGGAAGTGAATGCTAATGGGTACAAGGTTTCTTTTTGGAGTGATAAAATGTTCTAAAATTAGATGGTGGTGATGGTTAACATAACTCTGTGAATATACCATAAACTATTAAGTCATATATTTTAAAAGGGTGAATTCAATGATAAGTAAATGACATTCCAATAAAGCTGTTACACAAAGTGTAATGGATCAGAAGTTAAAGAAAAACTTTAAAACTCACCTGATGGAAAAAAGTTTTATCCACTATATTTTCAATCTGATGTGCCTTTTTATTTCTAACCACCTGTATTTTTATTTCCCCACCATTCACTTTTTTCTCCAGGAGCCGCTGGTGTTGGTACTGAAAGGTCACAGGATCTCTGCCAGGAGGAGGATGACAGTACAGGAGTTTGCCCTGCAGAGACAACACGTGTGGTAACAGCGCATCCTCAGAGCATCTGTGTCAAGTTCACGGAGGTGGCCTCTCCCCAGGGTACACTGATGGAACTTTCTTCCTTTTGACAGCCGAGTTGAGTTCTGGTCACTGCGACCAGAGAGTCCTAACACCCAGACAATGATCCTTACTGTTCTAGAGGCCTCACTCCTTCCACAGTCCTAACTTAGAATGAAATCTTTCTTCTCTGTGCCCCTAGAGTCTTGTTTAACGTACTCTTCAGCCCAAGAATGTGATTACACTGGGTTGGCCAAAAAGTTGTTTGGGGTTTTTCTGTAACATCTTATGTAAAAACCTGAACAAACTTTTTGGCCAATCCAAAACTTAACGTGGTAGATGGTGGTTCAGTCGCTCAGTCATGTTCAACTCTGCAAGCCCATGGACTGCAGCCCACAGGCTCCTCTCTCCATGGGATTCTCCAGGCAAGAATACTGGAGTGGGTCGCCACTTCCTTCTCCAGGGGATCTTCTGACCAAGGGATTGAACCGGGTCTCCTACACTGCAGGCAGTCTCCTGCATTGTAGGTGGATTCTTCACTGACTGAATCACCAGGGAAGCCCTATACTTAATGTGAGTATTTTCCAAAACAAAAGCCAGGATGCAGTTGGATAGTGTGGCTGCACTAATAGGGACACTGGGCCTAATGCCATTGTTCACTGGGTGCCAAGTTTCCTCTTTCTACCATATATACATACAAAGACTTTAACTCATTCTCCCCATCCTCCACCTAGACAGCGTATTAAAAAGCAGAGACATCACTTTGCCAACAAAGGTCTGTTTAGTCAAAGCTATGGTTTTTCTAGTAGTCATGTATGGATGTGAGAGCTGGACCATAAAGAAGGCTGAGCCCCAAAGAACTGATGTTTCGAACTGTGGTGCTAGAGAAGACTCTTAAAGAGTCCCTTGGACATCAAGGAGATCAGTCAATCCTTAAGGAAACCAACCCTGAATATTCACTGGAAGGACTGCTGCTGGAGTTGAAGCTCCAATACTTTGGTCACCTGATGCAAAGAACTGACTCACTGGAAAAGACCCTGATGCTGGGAAACGGGGTAAAAGAGGACGAAATGGTTAGATAGCATCAGAGACTCAATGGACATGAGTTTGAGTAAACTCCAGGAGATGATGGAGGAGAGGGAAACCTGGTGTGCTGCAGTCCATGGGGTCGCAGAGTCGGACACAACAGAGCAACTGAACCACCACCACCACCCCCACCCCATCCTTCACAGATTTACAAATGGCAAAGAATAATTAATAGATAATTCATCCATACAAGTATTCTATTAACTATTTTCTTCCTAAATTAAAAAAGAACACGGCTGCCCTCTTATTTCTGTGCCCCCAAAGCCCCACTGCTGACATACTGAGAAGGGGAGGGAATAAAGTGACATCCTCACAGCCAATTATTATACCCCCTGCAATACTTTTTGTGGAAAGAAATAGCTTACTACTACTGCTACTAATAAAACTACCGGGGCTAATTTTACACTAGGCACTGAGCTAAGTGGTATTTGTGTATATGGGGGTGTCTGTCTCCAATTCATATACACCACTCTCATTTATTTCCCATAATAATCTCAAGAGATAGGTACTATGAACTCCTATTTCGCTGATGAGAAAAACCCAAAACTCACCATGTCCCCACTGTAACAGAAAAACAATAGCTCACAGACTTACATACTTTATCACCTTTACTGGTAACAGATATTCAAAGATGTTCATCTATTTCATATCATGTCAGTCCTTTCTATGTTTTATACAATGCTGGCTCCCCTGGATCAAAAGTACAATTCCAGTTATAAAACAGCATCAAAGAGAAAATATCTCCTTTATAAGCCAGCTGGTTGCCATTACCCTAACCACATGCAATGGAAAAAGACCTACTTACTTATTTGAGAGGAACTAGAGGCAGGGTTCACTTACATTGACATAATCCTTCAGGATGTAGCGCGCAGATCGAGGCTGGTCTGGCTGTCCATGTGCTGTCATGAATCCTCGCATACCTATAAGGAGAAATGAATTTTGTAAAACCTAATTTAGAAGACATTGTAACAAAGAAACTTGAGGTAATGAAAATCTAGCCTTTTCTGTTACTACACTGCATTCTTATTCTACCTTAAAAAAAAAAAATCAATTAACAATGTAGAAAATATTTTGGTTAGCATTACAAATACAGCTGATAATCCAGGACCAACTATACTGGTACAGCTGCTCTTGTGCCAAACACCAAGCAGCATGTGACAGACATGTTCAGTCTCTCTCTAGTTATTTCTTCAATCTCTTCCATTTTAAACACTGATTCAAGGAGGCTACTTGTAGAATGATACGTTGTCATTATCAGCAAGACCAAAAGCAACAGATCAAGTTTTCTTATTTAATGCTATACCTACACTTTTTTCAGTTTCCCAAACATACAACAAAGATCCCTTTAATACTAACTCAATTAGAAGGGAGCACCAGAGCAGAGCTGGTAACAACACAGGTTTTAGCTCACAGGTTAAAAACCCAGCTCCTCATCCTAGCTCTATGTTGGGTCCTTTAGTTTAGAAGAAAGTAGTTACAACTATACACAAAAAATACATTCAGGAGCAGGATGAAAATCTAAAAATTAAAAAAAAAAATTATAGGAAAAGTTTTTCCCAAGTAAAACACCAAACCCAACAAAACTAAAAAGGAAAAAACTATTGAAATCATTGACTTCCATAGAGCTAAAGAAAATGTACATCAGGAAAAACATTTGAAACATAGGTAGCAAAGAATTGCTATAAATCATTAAGACACAAACGAATGATGCATAGAAAAAAGTGATTCTTAGAAGATAAAATGGTTAACAAATATATGGACAGATGATGAATTGTACTAGCATTTTAAGAATGTTTAGGCACGTGTTTTTACAAACTGGCTTTGTCCTCACTTTTTGATTTATCACAGAGAATTAGATGAAAAATTTGAAAAGACTCATACTACTTTCAGTTTTACTTGGATATCAAACCAGATGGAAAGTCTGATACAAAGTCTACTTTTCCCTGTTATTTTTCCCTGTCTTTCAGGCCAGCACAAGGAAGAGATGAATTAGGAAAGAAACCTGGGTTCTCACTGAGGCTATGCCACTGACCAGACACCACCCTGGACAAGTCATTTCATGCTCAGAGTTCAGATTACTTGTCATAAGGCAAGGGAGATAAAAGATGGGGAAATCTTTAAGACCTCTTCTTATCCTATGATTTTGTGACTATATCAGTCTTACCACAAGTGCTTAATATCCATCCTCTTTAAAATATCTCAACTAAAAAAAAAAAAAAACTCAACTAAGGCAAAAATTCAAGGTCTGATTTAACTGTGGTTTATATCAAATCACCTTTCTCTGCCAGTAAACACTCAAATAACCTGAACTCTTTCCTGGCTGAGGGCAATTTCTTGAAAGGCAAGATACATACACATGGAAATTTTTTAACACTGCTATTTCTTTAGGTAGATACAGGTCTTTCCAGATTAAAGTTTGTGTTTAAGATAAATAAATCACAGTCAATTGGAGAAATGACAAAAATAATTCACATGTGTGTGTACACTAAGTAGCTTTAGTCATCTGACTCTGTGCAACCCTATGGACTACAACCTGCTAGGTTCCTCTGTCCATGGGATTCTCCAGGCAAGAATACTGGAGGGAGTTGCCATGCCCTCCTCCACGGGATCTTCCCAACCTAGGGACTAAATCCTCATCGCTCATGTCTCTTGCACTGGCAGGCAGGTTCTTTACCACTATCACCACCTGGGAAGTTTCTACATGGAACTCCCATGAAGAAAAGCCAATGGAGCCTCAGATCAGAACCCCTACATCTACACTTGGATAGAAGGCCTCCTACAGGAAAGGGCCTGAGACCATGAAAGCCTGGGAAGACATGTCTCCAAGGCACTGATTTCTATGGTGAAAACCTGTGGAAGAGGCAAGGAATATAGCACACCTCCTTCTCTAACTCTAAAAAGCACCTAACATGAAGTAAAATACCACTCAGGCAGCAGTCGGCTCCTTCTCCTTTACTGCATAAAAAAAAGCCTTATGCACCAATGATTACCTCCAAATGTACCCCTTTAAAAATATTATCTCTGAAACAGACTTCAAGATGACCCATTTTTACCTAAATACACTACAGATTTGTGAGATGATCCTAATTGAGACAAATCACACAATCTTTGTTTCTAATCCTTACAATTATGTAAGGAAGGATTATTTTTTCCTCCCCTGTTTAATTACTCAGATTTTTCTGAAGCTCCAATGTACACAAAACAACAACAATTTTGGCACAGCACCAAGGATATTAATGATACAGGTGGGACATGATCTCTCATCTGGTCAATTGGGAGGATTCCACTGCAAATCATCTCAGCTTTGGTAGAGACAAAGGATGGCATCACCAGGCCTGGGCAGTCACACAGGCAGAGGCCAGGTTCTACATAGAGTGTCTGAAGGACAAGGAAGGGGGTTATGCTGGGCACACAGCATGGGAAGGGAAAGAAGAGCAGCACACGGGTGGCAGAGAACTTCAGAAAATACTCAGAGGGAGGAACTATCTGAGGAGTAAATACAAAGGCTGATGCTGTAGAAATACCTGAAAATGCTTGGTGTGACCAGGTGTAGCAGACACAGATACCTTCTTGTTGCCTAGGATGGTGTTGATTGTTGAACTCTTACCAACATTTGGATAGCCCACCTAGAAGGGAGTCAGACGGAATGTCTACAGTAAAAGTTGGCAATCATCACAGGATGCCAAAAGCCTACACTGTCTAAAAAGCCTGCATCACAGGATGCCAAAAACCTACCCTATCTAAAGGAAAGAACACTGGACCAGAGGGCAGAAGACAACCTTAAAAGTTTTCATTCTGGTATCTCGTGTAAGTCACGAGGCATGTAGGGATTAACTGGGAGACTGTAGAAGGTAATATGAACAGGGGTGTAACCAGTTTACGCCTTGAGAAAGTTCATTCTTTGAGTTGGGCTGTCTGTCACATATGGCCTGCTCCCATGACGCCCATGGGCAACAAGAAGTCTTCAGTCTTCCCTATGACACCAGGGCCTCACTGGTCTCTGGGGTTCCGGTGCAGTGGGAATACAGACCCTCACGAATCAATTTTATGACATATCTCATCTTACCAGTCCAACAGTAAGTTGTCCATCCTTCACCTTCTTTCCAGAGTGCAGCTGCTTAAAGACCTCGAGTAACTCCTGCTTTGATACCAAGTGACTAAAATTCTGTATTTGCCTCTTCTGCGGGGTTTTCCTTTCTGGAGCCTCAGAGTCCAGAGTATGGGCCTCCTTGCAGTCCTGGCCACAGGCTTCCTCATCAGGGCTGCTGCCATCTTCCAAACACGTCTGCCAGTCCTCTTCCTCCTCCTGACAGTCCTCATACTCACTCTCTTCTTCTTCACTACTGGCAACTGCACCAAGTGAAAGATGTTCAGTCTCTTCGTGTAGAATTTCAGCTTCGTCGCAACTGGAGTTTTCTAACTCGGCTGTGATAGCTTCTCCAGTGTCTCCGTTTACTTCTTCCTGATGAAATAACAGAAACCACGAAAGTTCAGAAGTGTGTAACAACTGCACTTTTCGCTCTGGTAAAAACACTCCGAGTTGGTTATCTAAGGTGAACAGAGGACAAAAAACATTATGAAGAGGAAAGGTGAAAAGAGGGAGATGAGATAACATGAGGATGTAACTGAACTATCCACAGTGGTGCCCTCCAGAGAGGTGGACCTTCATATCACACATTTTTGCATTATTTGAACAAATAACATCTATTACTTTTCTAATAGATAACTGTTGCCTATGACTATACTACCATGAACACCTTGATCTTGTCTAATAGATAACTCTTTTATCTATTAAAAAAAAAAGTAAGAGTTTAGAAAAGCCTGTGTCAAGCTGAATTCCTTGGCAGTACTTTTGCAATGGGCTATAGAATAAAACAAAAGCATTCTCATTAACAGTAAAAGAGTTAATATTCTCTTCTCTGCACAAAGCAAGAAGGGTATAATTTATAATTAAATATTTTCATTTTCAAAGACAGTGATTTTCATAGTTAAGGAAACTATTCTTTTATAACTATCTTTAATAAATCATAGCATCATGGAGCACAGGTCCTTGTGTGTGAAATATGAGAGCAACAAAACAACTCTGTGCATGGAAATTATTCACCAAACAATAACTTCTTTTGGAAAGAGAATGGTAAAAATGATTTACAATTCATGGGTACATTAATCCTTCTGGATGAATTACAAGTTGGAATCAAGATTGCCAGGAGAAATAACAACCTCAAATATGCACATGATACCACTCTAATCACAGAAAGTGAAGAGGAACTGAAGAGCTTCTTGATGAGGGTGAAAGAGAAGAGTGAAAAAACTGGCTTAAAACTCAGCATTCAAAAACTAAAATCATGGCATCTGGTCCCATCACTTCATGGCAAATAGATGGGGAAAAATGGAAACAGTGACAGATTTTATTTTCTTGGGTTCCAAAGTAATTGCAGATGGTGACTGCAGCCATGAAATTCAAAGATGCCTGCTCCTTGAAAGAAAAGCTATGACCAACCTAGACAGCATATTAATAAGCAGAGACATACTTTGCCGACAAAGGTCTGTACAGTCAAAGCTATGGTTTTTTCCAGTAGTCATGTATGGATGTGAGAGTTAAACCATAAAGAAGGCTGAGCATCAAAGAACTGATGCTTTTGAACTGTGGTGATGGAGAAGACTTTTGAGTCCCCTGGACAGCAAGGATATCAAACCAGTCAATCCTAAAGGAAATCAACCCCAAATATTCATTGGAAGGACTGATGCTGAAGCTGAAACTCCAATACCGCTACCTGATGTGAAGAACTGACTCATTGCAAAGACCTTGATGCTGGGAAAGACAGAAGGCAGGAGAGGGGGACAAAAGAGGATGAGACAGTTGGATGGCATTATCGACTCAATGGACAAGACGTGGAGCAAACTTCGGGAAACAGTAAAGGACAGGGAAGCCTGGCGTGCTGCAGTCCATGAGATCACAAAGAGTTGGACATGACTTAGTAACTTAACAACAATCTTTCTGAATTCTTATGGATAATAAAGCAGAAATACAACATTTCACAGTATTACCAATTCTTATCAACAAGGGTAAATTGATTTAGATTTAGAAGTGATGCAAACCTATCATTTCCAAATAATCTAGCGTTAGAATGAGTGGCCACTACAGGAGAGGGCATAATAAACTCAGTTAAACAGGTATCCTACATTTTAGGGAAGAAAAAAAAGTCAGGGAGAAGAGGTATGATTTCACTGTCATTTCAGGAGACTCAAAAAGAAACTTGGAATTGGAGCAATTTCTATAATAAAGGTCACAAAGTCACTATGTACTGTTCTGAACCATTTAAAAGTATGAAAGAGGCAGAACACAATAATGTGAACTGAACATGGGTATTTGCTAGGAAAACTAAGGCTTGAAGCAGTTTAGGTTCAGGAAAAATGATAAAGGCAACAAAAGGACTTTGCAGTAGTTACATCAAAAATTAAAAGAAAGAAGGGACCAATTGAAAAAGTATATACAACTCCCGTGCTAAGACTAGCGAGTGAGGCACTCTCCATCTCCCCTCTGATGTCTATGTCAGAAGCTTTCTCTGTCCCTTTTTCACTTTAATAAAACTCTGCTACACACACATACACACACACACACACACAAAGAAAGAAAGAAAGGGAAAAGTCCATCTTTTGGGGAACACAGTGCAATTTAACAAATGGCCGAGAGAAAACAAAAGTACTCAATTAAAAAAAAAGTCTCATGGCTGATTCATATCAATGTATGGCAAAACCACTACAATATTGCAAAGTAATTAGCCTCCAACTAATAAAAATAAATGGAAAAAAAATACCATTAAAAAAAAATAAGAATGGTTAAACAACCATGGAGAAAAGAGCAAACTTCAGATAGGTGAAAAAATAGTAAATATCTAGTTTTTAATAAGTTCATGCTTGATATTCAAATGACAGATGCGATTAGATACGATAACGTAACAGTAGCTGGTAACAACTTGGAAAATCATGAACAGAGATTTCAGAAGATTTAGGAAGAATAAATAGGGTTCAACTTTTAAAAAGGAAGAAAGAATATCTTCCATAAACCAAGCACTGATAAGACAGTCTGACAGTGAAACAATTCTACAAGTTAGCTGACAGACACAACAGGAGGCAGCAAAGATTCCCTGAGAACACATCGTGCAAACAAATCCCATTTCCCTTGGGAATCTACTCCTTGGTTGCCAGTTCAGGGAATACTAGAGATGTAAAAACTGATCCTTTTCCCATTTTCAACAGGGCCACTGGGTTGATGCATCAGGGCTGAGTGACATATTGATAAATAGTTATTCAGCACTGCAACTAGACACCAACTTACAGGAAGGATTTGAAACAAGAAGCAATAATGAAGAGGACAGACTATGAAGCCAGATTGCCCAAGGATTACAGGCACTTACACTCTTTCTGGAGAAGATGAAATAAAACACAGAAAGTACTCAGAATAGCAGTGCCTGCTAAGAACAGGTTTTCTGTGGGTTAGTTTTTATTAACAACAGTAACAGCACAATAACTACTGTTACAGTCTTTCAAATACATCTTAAATGCTTGGTACACCTGCGCTTATTAAGTCCACAAAAGGTCGCAGAATTCTATCCTCAGCCCCAGACTACTCAACAGCGTTATCAATGAACATTAAGAAGACACAGAAGGGCCAACACAATATCTGCAGATGATTCAATTCCGGAAGAGAAAAGCAAATGACATATCCAAAATGAATTCTACCTTGTCCCCAAGCCACTAATATTTAAGAGGAACATGTCCTAAGCTGAGCTAAAAATAAAGTGAAAAACTTTCCCCATATGTAAAGATAGATGAGATCTGCTTGCTGAAGTCTTATCTTTAAAATACTGAGTTGGTCAAAAAGTTCGTAAAGGTTTCTCCCTTAAGGTAGTACAGGAAAACCAGAACAAACTTTTTGGCCAATCTGATATTTGAGGGATACGGTTGTTCATAGGTTTAATGAGCCCAAAGCATAAGCTCCTTTGAAAGAAGGTGAATTAACAAAACCCCTGAATTCCTGGGAGTGTCCTGATCACAAGAAGTAAGAATACATGTCCTGGGCAAAGCACACCTGGAGGACTACACTTGATCAGTGGCCACCCATTTTGGGAGCTCTCCTGACTCAGGCAGAGAGGCCCTCAGCGTGAGGAGTGCACGTGAGGACACGTGAGGACACGTCGGTAAGGAGCAGCAAAGCAGAGATATGTACCTTCTGCAGAGGAGAGAACACAGGGAGAAAGGAAGAGGCCTTAAACTAAAGTTAGGAGAGCTGAACCTTACTGGACTAAAGAACTTTCACCCTGGAGAGAAAAAGAATGGGACATCTGGTACGTATGGCCTGAGAGAGTATGCGACTGTCTGCCAGGGAGGTGGAGGGAAGAAGTCCTTCACAGAGTCAGAGCTCACTAGCTTGTGAGCTCACCAACAAGAAGGCGCTGTATTTAGAGCACCCAGCTCAGGCCACTAACTCATCGGCAATGGCTAACAGAGATGAGACGAAAGGAGGCAGACAGGAAGAGACATGACTTTAGGTCTCTTTCAGCTCTAAGATGCTATTGCTAAGTTCTTTCCATAGCTGGTTATCATTAATTTTTATTAGAAAATAACCCTTAAACTGTTTCTAGCAAAACTGGGTTAAAACCCATGGTATATCTTAATTTAGTATTACTTGATTTCTTTGTTTTCAAAACAAAGTCAAAACAGATTCTAGTCGAGTCCAGAGAAGTTATTACATTCAGCTGTATCTGAATTTTGGTTTTGACTTCTCTTAAAAGCAACTGTAAAGTCATTAGGAAAGTTCCTATACAACTTTCTGCCTAACATTTTAAAGAAGTATGTGTCTTCAGAGAAAGCAACTTTGCAACTTACTTTTTCTGTAGGTCATCATACTACCCTACTACTTGGGGAAAAAAGAAATGAAGCCCTACAAATCAACAATAAGAAAAAACAAACAAAGCACACTGAACAGAAACCGAAATCTTCCTCCCTGAAGCCCAACCCGAGAAGGCCCCGATTACCTCAGAGTTAGCCATCAGCTGAATGGCTTCAGCCAAAGCTGACCAGAAAATGACCTTCACGTTTTCTTTTTCGAAGAATTCAGCCCAGGCACTCCGCTGCTCGATAGTCAACAAGTCTGCCTTATTCACCAGAATAACATTCTCCTTGTTGTCATCAATGGTTTTCACATAACACTCCTAGGCAAGACAAAGATATTCACATATCTCTCCAAATGGTGAAAAATTTGGCTATTATACTGAAGACCCCCTTCCCTAGTCCCTTTTATTTATTACTAAAAGGTCTTACTGTCACTGGTTTTAAAACAGTTCTAATATGAAAGATTTTTAATCAAGGTACATGATTAAATCCATGGTATAGATACTTTCAGCAGGCTTTGAAAAGAAGTTAGGTCACATATGCTTACAAACTCTTCACAAAAAAAAAACTAAAGGGTAAAAAGGAAATGCTTTCCTGCCCTGTTCTTATTTCTTTAAATTATATAGTTTCTTTCAAACAAAGATAAATAATTGCGTTTAAAAAAAAGATTTGTCAGTCAGCAGGAACTATTTTCAAGCCAAATGATGACAGTCAATAATCTAATAAAAAATATTTTTAAAGTCTAAAAGGAAAATAAGACCCAGTGATTAAGTTAACCCCAAGCATAGCTTTCCATTAGGAAATACTCTAAAAATATTGAAAGCTGAATTAGTAAGGGTTTCCCTATTTTGAATTTTGTTATTCACCAGATTTTAAAATAATGGTTCTGCTGTGGTCCTCAAACAGAAACAGGAACACTTCATGTGTTTTCAACCTTATTAATTCAAAGCCTGTATCACCTCATTTCTAGTGATACTCACACCTTAATGATGACCCCCTGCAGTATTTTACAAACTTAGATCATTTGTAGAATACTATAGAAGGTAGTAACTATGGTGTAAGAAGAGAAAGCTTAGTGGGATGAACAAACTAGGCATATGCCAAAATCAGCAAAATGCTACTTCATTTACTTAAAATTCTCTTAAAAAATGAGACACACTGGCAAATGCCTCTGAACAGAGTGCCTTCTAAACTAAAAGCTAGAAAGTTCAAGTGTTTGTGGCTTCCTGCAGATGCAAACAGCTGTCTGAAGAAAACATGTCTAAAGGGTCCCATTACGCAGGCTCCTGGCCTTGGGAGGAGCGGGAGACCTGATAGAACAGGGTGCAAAGGTCGGCTCAGAGTCACTGCTGTCCGTGATGCTGTTCTCCCACTGCTGCTCCAAGGACTTTAAGTTTGAATCCTGTCATGTTTTACTTACCAAATCCTCACACCTAAACAGGAGTGGATTTCGAGCATCTACTATCTGGACCACAATATCACTGAAAAACAAATGTGAGACATGCCAATCACTGTGAAATGAAAGGAAATAGTATTGAGAGCAAATACATATTTTCTGTATGTTAGGCACTGATGTATTTAATTTTCAATAGGTACAATTATCCCCAGTTTATATGTGAAGAAACTGAAGCTTGGAACAGCTAAGTGGCCTACTCAAAGCCACAAGGTACTAAGTGATTGAGTTTGAAGGCGAACTCAAGCACTCTGGACCAGACGTCATGCTATAATCATAACATTTTCCTGCTCTTAATATGCTAAAATTTTTAACTATACCTTCTAGTAATCTCTCCTGGAAAGATTAAAGAGTTATTCCAAAGACGTCAATCCAAGGTGATGTCTACTATATACTCTATATACTCAGCACCCAGTCTACACTTGTGTTAAGTAAGGCCTCAAAAAGCCCTAATATATCACCTGATCACAGCTGCCACTATAAAGCCTATAAACCTCACTTAAACCCTTCTGACATCTAGTAAATCATCATCCACCAGTTTCAAGAATGTGCTTAAATGAGAAAATTCAAAACAGCGAAGTATCAACTTAAGTTGCCATGGGGAAGCAGGAAATGATGAATGCAACCCCTTTCATCACACAGAAGATGGAGCAAAATGAAAACTTTCTGCACAGACAGCAAGTCCCTCAAATTCCTCACAAAGGTAGCAGGGACCAGCAGGCCAGCACTGCATGAATACTACACTTCTCCAATAGGATCCTCCCTGCCTTCAGCCTCTGTGGTTAGGAAAGATGCTGTGACCACCGCTGGGAGGGAACAAGCTGCGCATGTACCAGCACCTTCCAGCAGTCTTCCCAATCCATGTCTGGTTTGTTCTTCCTGGAGTAACTCCTATGCAACTATGCTGAACACCAAGGAAATGTGTTAAATCAAGGCTACCATTCAGGGCAGGGCTTTTGACAAATCTGGGTCTGCATTTTCCTTCAGAATAAATTTCCAGCATAATCTTGTGAGTAAAGGAACTCACAAACTTGCTAATTTATGACAAGATGCTTAAAAAGTTCTCTAGTTAAGTGGGTCCTAGTATTTCCTTCTTTAAGGTAATATCTACTGCTTTCCATCTGTAAGGATTTAACAGTAAATGCAAAAATGACTGCAAAAAACAGACAAAGTCTAATGAACCAAAGTCCATAAACATTATGTCTACCTGCCAAAGAGGCAGAAAGAATAACCAGCTTAGACACACCAGTAAGAAAAGACGACAAGTTTAAGATGGCTTGCTTCATGTACTGAATTAAGATGCAGGGCAAAGTGCCAGTTATGTGCTAGGAAGTGTTGATGCAATGCAATGGAAACACCTTGTCTGACTGGAAGCAGCATTCTGCCCTCTGTGCCTCAGCAGTTTCCTGCATTTCAATGAAATGTTATACACCAAATCCTTTCTGATAACTATTCTTGAAATTAAAGAGGCAGATGACATAGCTAGTTTGTTACCAAACAGGAGACACCTGCTGTTTTACAGAACATATCAATAAATATTTCCTGTTAAGAGACAGGGCAGGAGTTACTTTATTGATATTTTTATGTAATTCACATCCACATCCATGTGATAGAGCAACAGAACAAGTGATGCTGTAATCCAATTGAAGCTACAAGTTTCAACAGGTCCAGGCTTACTCTGGGGAAACAAACAGCTTATCTAGGGACATAAAAAATAAGGGAAGGGCCTTCCTGTTAAACATGGAAGAATTCATATGGTTACCTTTGTTCCCTCTTAAGACCTACGAAAATGAAAGGCTGGAACTCATTAGGACAAAAAGAAAGAAGAGCAACTCACAAAGTCAGCCAATGAGAAGCAGGCCTGTTCACACTCCAGAGCTCTGAAGAAGCTCAGGATCAGAAGCATCAGATGCAGTTTTTGAGACAAGGGCGAGGTGTGGGGCTAAAATCACTCTGAACAGGGAGTGATTAGGTCCATTCCCTTGTTCCATTCAGCCAGGCAGCCACACTTCACCCCACAGCCCCTCAGACCCCTGTCCCAATGGCAGAAGGCCAGGCTTTATTGTGGAGAAGATGAACCTGAGAGGTTCCAGAACTAGGACCTCAAGCATAGGAAAAGGTGGGAAAGAGATGCCATACTGAAGAGAGGAAGATTAACGTTAAGTCTACACATACCCCAATGGTGGAAAGGCCCAGCCCCCGTATAGTATATTATCACCTTTACCCCATTCCTGGCGGACGATCGTGCTTCTCTTTAAGAAACTGACTGATCCTAGGGAAAACACCCATAGATACTAATATCTTAGGAAATCCCAACAAAATAAAATTGATCTCTGCTCAGTCACCATACAGAGAAGTTCACCTGGTGGCCAAATCACCCAAACAGAAGTCCTGTCAATCAGCTTTGTAACACTTTGTTTTCTTAAATATGAACAGATGGCAAACATCACTTGACACCTGTGAACAGCCTCTTACATGAAAAGTCAGAAACCAGAATAAATAAGGAAAAAAAGAAATGTGGAAAAAGATAGACAATGTATGAAACAGGAGAAAATCTAGAATTAAAAAATTAACTAAGAGTGTGCAGATGGGGGCATTCCCTCAAGGTTGAAGTTTCAATATTTCACATTGTTACCAATTCTATTACTGAAACAGCATTTTCAGTAAGAAAACAGGCATTTTTAGCAATATACATTCTGACTGCATGAAGGAGAGATCAGTCCATTCCAGTCCCCAAAAGAACCATATTGGGTCTTCCTAAGCCCCATTCAAACCTAGGTCAATCTAAAAGGTCAGCATGGAGCCTGGCAATTAGCAGCAACCTTCCCCTTCCTTCAGGCTTAGAGATCTGCCTTAATATTCTCACCTCTTCACATCCCAGCCCAATGACCCTCTCTACCTGAGGAAGCAAGATGGGTTGGAGGCATCTAAGTGACTTTTAAGAAAAAGAGATAATTAACATTATCATAAAATTCATCCTTTTAAAAGTATACAATTTAGTGGTTTTTAATACAGCCACAGTTCATAAGCATCAATTTTTCGGCGCTCAGCTCTCCTCACAGTCCAACTCTCACATCCATACATGACCACTGGAAAAACCATAGTCTTGACTAGACGGACCTTTGTTGGCAATGTCTCTGCTTTTTAATATGCTGTCTAGGTTGGTCATAACTTTCCTTCCAAGGAGTAAGTGTCTTTTAATTTCCTGGCTGCAATCACCATCTGCAGTGATTTTGGAGCCCCCAAAATTCAAGTCTGACACTGTTTCCCCATCTATTTGCCATGAAGTGATGGGCCCAGATGCCATGATCTTAGTTTTCTGAACTGTGGTGTTGGAGAAGACTCATGAGAGTCCCTTGGACTGCAAGATCCAACCAGTCCATCCTAAAGGAGATCAGTCCTGGGTGTTGATTGGAAGGACTGATGCTGAAGCTGAAACTCCAATACTTTGGCCACCTTATGCGAAGACTTGCCTCATTGGAAAAGACCCTGATGCTGGGAGGGATTGAGGGCAGGAAGAGAAGGGGATGGCAGAGGATGAGATGGCTGGATGGCATCACTGGCTCGATGGACATGAGTTTGAGTAAACTCTGGGAGCTGGTGATGGACAGGGAGGCCTGGTGTGCTGTGATTCATGGGGTCACAAAGAGTCGGACACGACTGAGCGACTGAACTGAACTGAATGAATACAGCCACAAAGTTGTATAACTATCACCACTAATTCCAGAGGATTTTCATCACCCTAAAAAGAAATGTAAGTGACTTTTACAAATTTAATCCAAGCCCTTTTTCTTGGTAATAATGCTAAATATGCTAATATCCTTTCCCAAGAATCCCAGTGAAAGCATCCTGTTTCCTAACATTCTTACTGGATGTATTTTATGGATTAACCACACACACACCCCTACCCCCTGAAGGCTTGTTGTTAAAAGCATCATTTCAAATATAAAGTTCATTTAAGGGGTCCTTATAAATAATTCATACACTCTTTTGACAAAAATAAAAGACCTTTAGCAATAACAAAGAATGAGATTGAAGAAAGTTGATTCATCAGTTTCTAACAATCAGGACATGGCAATGATCAAAAATCTCCTATTCTTAACTTATCAAAGTCATTCTCTTCTTTTCAAATCCCAGTTGAAACAAATCACTCCCAAATTCCTCCAATACTACTAACTGTTCCTTCTTCTGCTCTGACTCTGCACATGATCCTTTCATCTGTAACACAGTAGGACTCACACTCCATCTTGTATTTTACTAAGGATTTCATCAACTTAGTGCAAGGATTGCATTTCAACTATTTGTGTGCCCCTGGTGTTTGACCTCTCCCCATAACACATTTGCTCTCTGCAAGTAGACACCAAACCTTTTTTACACCTGTATTTTCCATGTTCCTAGTATGAATTTGTATTTACTTGCTAAAATAACTATAGGTACTTCACAACTCAACTTACAGAAAACAATAACCATTATTTTAAGTTTATCAATGTGTTTACTAATAACAACCCCCCTCCCCATATTTTAAAAGAAATGTAGGATCAGTTTCAGTTTTTATAATAATTCTCAGTAGCCCTTTGTAAAGCTTGATCCTGTTCCTTTAACCCCTCCCTGGGCTCACAAACATATATAACATGCAAATCTATCGTAACACCACCACCACCACATCCTCCTTGCACAAAAAGAAAATGGTAATCTACCTTCTCTCAATCACCCTCCAGAGTTGGCGCCAAAAGTCCAAATTTCTTTCAAATGGTGTCAATATCAGGTTTTGTTCCTCTTCCAACCTGGTTTCAGAATGAGAAGTTTATATTTCTGCTAGATTTTGATAAGTTAGGTTTCAAGTAATATAAATACTCAAATTCACTGCATTAAAAAATAAGCACACAAATATTGTCAAATGATTTTTATATCCTTTCTGTTGAGTTAATATGCAAATCAAATTTAAATTTTCTACTTAAGCTTTTAAGTCCTAGAGGTTTATCCATCACGTTGGAAGAAGGCTCCAGGGAGCAGTGATCACTCCAGAGTGACAAACAGCAGGAAAAGGATATGACAAGGAGAAAAGGCCAAGAATGCAGCAATGAACACACAACCTTTGTGTAAGGAAACACATGCACAAAGCAATGTGGCTTGCACATACACCAATTTGCACTTATAAGATGAAATCTACCATTTCTCTTTAAAAGAACAAAGCCTTAAAAATGCAAACAGCAATGCAAGCACACCAATATGTCTAACTCAAAATTTCAAGAAAATTCTTCATGGAGGTGAACACTCACCAGACAAGCTGACGTCTCCATTCTAGAAAGTTATCTTTCTCTGCCTGTTTGAGTTCTTCTGGGCTAGTTTTTTGGTCCCACTTTGGTCTGAAACAATCATAAAGTAAAAAATAAACAACCCCACATGAGTTACCAAAATAGAGTAGGATAACTGGATTTAATAATGGCAGTTGAGAAAAGAAAGCAGAAAAAAGTGAACACATTTAGTGGTTTTGTTATGCTTTTTAATATACTGCATTTTTACTCAACTCACCTCCTTGGTATACATAGGAACTGTTTGTTTTCTTCATGGAGTTTCTTAATTCTCTGGTTCTCCTCAAAAGATAGTAGTCCAGTTCTGGCCTCAGGAGGCACAAATTTAATATTAAGCTTCTCTGTCCATAGGGGGGAAAAAAAGTACTGCTATTTAAGAGGCAGTATAGAGAGTGAATTCATTACTTAGAATACTAAAAATATGAGCACCTAAAACAGAATTTAAGCTTTCTTGATTTACATAGATTCCCCTAACCTTGAATAAATTATAATTTTCAAAGGAAGTTTTCTACCAAAAAAAAAAATCTTTACTAAATGTTTCAAAAGGTCAACCACTTTTTCAAGTACTGATTTTTATAAAACTCCATATGCTAAATGCATTTCTTGGAAACAGAAACAAGAGGAGTGGGAAATGATTGCAAATATTCATTACAACCAGTCTCCTCATTTTACCCATGGAGAATAATTTTAAGCCAAAGGGACTGAGGGGAAAAGCAAAGTTCAGAAAGCAGACTCACTCCAATCAGAACTGGTGAGCTACTACAAAGCTAGAATTTACATAAAACATTTATCAGTTCAGTTCAGTCGCTTAGTCGTGTCTGACTCTTTGTGACCCCATGAACCACAGCACGCCAGGCCTCCCCGACCATCACCAACTCCTGGAGTCGACTCAAACCCATGTCCACTGAGTCAGTGATGCCATCCNCCGGATGCCATGATCTTAGTTTTCTGAATGTTGAGCTTTAAGCCAACTTTTTCACTCTCCTCTTTCACTTTCATCAAGAGGCTCTTTAGTTCTTCTTCACTTTCTGCATTATAAATACTCACAATCAAGCTGGACAAGAATCTAAAAGAATAAAACAACACCCAGTGTATGTATAAACCAGAGGCCTCTGCTCTAGGCTCTATCCCAAGTTGCTCCAGTCCTCTTTACTGCACCTCTCCACAGCCACCTAGTCTCCGGGGCAGGTGACTTCAGTGAGATAAGCACTTGGAAGCCAGCTACGCTTCTTACCAAAATGCCAAGAGGAGGTCCTATTCAAGGATAACAGGTCATCTTTAGCAATGGTTCTCTTCTTCTTTAGGCAAAGACGGCAATCTACTACCCTCATGTGACCACCAATAATGGACAGTCCAGTCACCCAGAGTACATACAGTCTTCAGTCACCATTCTCATCATGTCATCCTCAACCACCAGTCAGAACACACACCCCTCTAACCCCATAATTGATCATTCTTTGACATTAATTTCTCCTTCCAATGGTGACCTCCCACCCAATGTTCCCACTTTGCTTGGTCCAAGCTCTGTAAATCCCTCTAGTCCCTTGATTCTTTCCTCTTCTCCCAGTCCACCATCTAGCTTATAGCTTCACTTCTTTCCCTATTTGGCTAAAACCAGAGTATACCCATTCCACACTCTGACTGAACATCAAATTCCTTAGTGCACTGCAGCTGCTCCCAAATCTCAAATCTTAGGGAGAGTCAACTACCCATTCCTGTTCTCATCTCCGTAGCCATAAGCAGTAAGCACATGATGGATGATGCAGCCACCCATCTCTGAACTGCTTTCACTACCAACATTTCTGATACCAAATGTATGGGTTTTCTCACACCAACAACCAGTTTTCCAACTCTCCAGACACCAGCTGGGTGTCCTTCAATTCAATTCTATTCTGGCACTATCAAGAGACTGCTCCCACTTCAGATGCCAAATCTGCAAATGGGTTTTTATGGAGGCCTCATTACACAGGCGCCACTGTTAAAATAGTTGGGCACTGGTGATTAACTGAATCTCCAGGACATCTCCCATTCCCAGAGGTTGGGGGAGAAGTTTTGGAAAGTCCCAACCCTCAAATCACAGGGTAGGTTCCTGTGGCAATCAGCCCCCTGGCAGAAGCACTGTCCATCCTTCTCACAGCAACCTTAGGTCACCTCATTAGCATAAACTCTAGTTAAGGCTGATAAATGAAAGTGAACGTTGCTCAGTTGTGTCCAATTCTTTGCGACCCCATGGAATTCTCCAGGCCAGAATACTGGAGTGGGTCACCTTTCCCTTCTTTAGGGGATCTTTCCAACCTAGGGATCAAACCCAGGTCTCTTGCATTGTAGGATTCTTTACCAGCTGAGCCACAAGGGAAGCCCAAGAATACTGGAGTGGGTAGCCTATCCCTTCTCCAGCGGATCTTCCCGACCCAGGCATCAAACTGAGGTCTCCTGCATTGCAGGTGGATTCTTTACCAACTGAGCTATCAGGGAAGTCCAACCTAGTAAGGTTGAAAGGGGCTTATTATGAATAATAAAAGACACTCCTCTTGCCCCTACCACTCAAGAAATCACCAGGGTTTTAGAAACTCTTGAATCAAGGAAACAGAAATGAAGACCAAATATAAATGTACTACTTTTTATGTCACAATATCATATCTTCTGCTTATTTGCTGAGTACGGCCTTTGCCATCTTTTAAAAGTGAAGAGTTCCCAGTGAACATTTAGCATTTTTCATTGTTCTGCACTCCTTTGTTAAGGTCAGGGATCCATGAGAACTAGCTTAAAAACCATGGACCATCACCCTATTCAAAAGTGCACTATGTACATGTATACACACACACGACACACACAAGTATGATTCTGCCTGCAATCTGAGGGGTTCATGGAGAGCTGAAACTTGTAGTCTCCAGGTTAAGAATCCCTGTTCCCGTGTGTCCAGAAGACAAGTGCCATCTGAAGGCCAGAAAACTGAGGAAAATCCTATCATTAAATACTTCTAAGGAAAAGGGAATTAANAGGCCTCCCTGTCCATCACCAACTCCTGGAGTTTACTCAAACTCATGTCCGTTGAGCCAGTGATGCCATCCAGCCATCTCATCCTCTGTCGTCCCCTTCTCCTCCTGCCCTCAATCCCTCCCAGCATCAGGGTCTTTTCCAATGAGGTAACTCTTCACATGAGGTGGCCAAAGTATTGGAGTTTCGGCTCCAGCATCAGTCCTTCCAATCAACACCCAGGACTGATCTCCTTTAGGATGGACTGGCTGGATCTCCTTGCAGTCCGAGGGACTCTCATGAGTCTTCTCCAACAGCATAGTTCAAAAGCACCAATTTGCTCAGAACCCTCTAAAGACACCTTTAAAGACCTCATTCTTTCCTGGACGTGGCCCTTCCCTCCTCCCTAAGTGTGTCTTCACCGCCTCTTGCACCCACGTGCTTTAAGCACCGTGAAATTTCTTCTAACCACTTTCTGAACAAAGCAGGCTGCTGCTCAGATCTTAGCTTGAAGTGCTCTGCCTGCTTGTGTGTAATGTCCTGCATCATCTCACCTGTCCTGCTAACATCAACTCATCTTTTAAGGTTCAGACCCAGGGTAAAGAGTTCCCTGACCAGCCCCAGTTTTCCTTCAGCTAGAAATGGACACCTTTTATTCATCTCTTATCACTCTGCTACAGACTCCTTTTACAGCACCTAAGACAAAATTCTGTAGAAATAAAAATTTGTCTTATACAATACTATACTTTCAGTAGGCACACAATACCTGAAGTAACTGGGGTTCAATAAAAGCATTTTGAACAAATGAACAAATTTGCTAAACAACGTAACAGTTATAACAACAGAAGAGCAATAGAAACAGTAGTTTATAAGGCTATCTCTGTGACAGGTAGTTTGCTAAATGCTTAGAAAACACACATAAACACACACACACAAAACCACAAACCAAAAACAACAAAAAAGGGCAAGCAGCGACTGAAATAAATTATATGCATGGAAAAATGCACTATAGTGTGTGACAAGTACTTAAGAGACTGAGTTTCTTGAATTTGACATGATAGATAACCACAGATGCTTTTTAGAGCTGAATTTTAAAACTGTGGCACATTTTGTACTTCCCTGTTGAATTCAACTGACCCTTCCGCACTGCTCCTGGGATATCTGCCTTTGGGTTAAAAACAGCTCCCTTATGAGTTTAGGAAGATCGGCAAAACACCCCCAAGTAGACTTACTTGTATCTAGTAAGCAAAGACAGAAATGTGTTGGAGGCACTCAGCAACAACTTACCAGCTACAAACTCTGTTCCTGCAAGTTCCGCAGTGGCAAGGAAGTCATCCAGGGAACTCTGTTCAGTCACGGACTGAAGATTAAGTCGACCCCAATCATAGCCATCGTTGAGTTCACTTGTGTGCAGCTATGAGTAAAACATAGGAGGGTAAGATAGCTGCTTTCTTCTGCTCCTTACATCCAAACAAATGCTATGTTCCCAAAGAACGTTCTATGGCCTTGAGCGTGGTGTCAGCTCTTTTAGTCAACAGTAGTAACACAACATTTAAATGAGCACTTTCTTACCTCATGATAGTTATTTTCCATTTACTTTCTTATTTAATTTTCAAAATCTTTTGAAATAAACTTCATATCTCTATCAGGAGTAAACTGGATAGAATAAATTGCCTATAATCATAAGCTAATAAGTGGCAGAGGTATTTGAATCTAAACCCATATACCATATACTCTGGTTCTGGCAGCCACTGTTGGTCAATTTTTTTAGACGGACACCCACAGTAAGAAACACATTTCACACAGTGACTCAAATGCTGTGAGATACTGTGAGATGCTGTGTATCATTCGATATAGTAAAGTGAAAACAAAAGAATCCTCAAAGTTATCTTTATTACATTCCACACAACATGGTATTTTCTTGAGTTTTATTCTGTGGGATGAAAAGCTTGGCTAGTTGCCACTTACTGAACTGATTCCAGACACACCTCAGTTTTATAAGATAAACACCATCCTAAGCTACATGCTCTGTACAGGTACAAACAAATGAAAATAATTGAAGGTTAAAAGGCTAGGTGGTTTGCCCAAAGGCCACAGAATCAGCAAAAATCAGGGTAAGGATTAGAATCTAGTTCTTTACTGAGAACTTGTGAATTCTCAAACACTTCGAGGAATGAATGTCAAAATGACAATTACAAATCAATCAAACCACTTCATCGGCTCTTCAAGGATCCTAAAACTATGACCGTTTCCAGGCCCAGGAAGCTACTAGGCCCGCCAAACTTTGGAGAAATGCTGTCCAGCTCTGAGTAATACCACTAGGGCATAAAAAAAAGTGAAGCACGAATCTGAGTTACTTTGTACTTCTGCTACCAGCCAAGTATCAATTCTTTAGACAAACGAATACAACACCAAGTCGTTTTTGTGTCATTCCTGTGCAGAAACTTCCAAATGCTTCCACGGCCTACAGGATAAATATAAAACTTTAGCCCTGGTTTTCAAGATCTCACTCCGATCTCATCACATTAGCCTCCACCTCTGGGCCCTGTGTCTTGCTAGGAGGGCCTGTTTCTCGGCCTGGTCCATTCTAACGGTCTTAAGCATTTGCGCATTTCAGTATCCGAGAAGGGATAAGGGTGGGCCTAGAACGGATCCCCGCCGTTACCGGGGGGCGACTGTATTCATCCCTAGAAACCCTATTTTGGCATCATTTCCTTTGGAATATTTCCCTGAGAACCCTGACCGTAAATTTCGCTGCGTACAGACTCACAACTAGGCAGAAAGACTGAGAAAGACAACGTTTTTACCCAGGAGTCCGTGTGGCGGTGGCTACGGCTCCGTTGAACTTGCTGGCGGATAAGAGTCCGGCCAAGAGTCCCACCCTCTGGTGCTCTCCTCCGACCCATGCTTGTCCAGTACACCGCCGAAAAGCAGCAAGAAAGAGTCACGCCAGTTTTCTGGGAGTCAGGAGCGCGATCTCCGGAAGTGACGTATGGGCGAGCCCAAGTGGATAAGGCCCGAAGTCGCAGGGAAACAGAATAATTTGCCTCAAATCGCCACTTATATATCTCAAATTTGCCACTAAGATAGAAAGTAAATGCAAATATATATTCCTCATAATATCTCAAAGTTGGGTAAAGCGATTCGATTAAACGAATGGTACCTTCTAAATTTGTGCAACGATTTTTAGTGTTCGGGGTACAACTAGGAGACTCGGAAAAAAGTGGCCGGGCATATTTGCGGTGGGAGCCACGCCTCCGGTTAATTTCGTCAGGAGGAGGCGGAGACTTGGGTGAAGGGTGTTCCTGCTGCGCTAGGTGGCGTTGCTTCCTGGCGCTAATTTTCGGCCTAGTGTAGGGTGTGGCTTCACCGCTGTCATGCCTGGCAACTAAACAGCTTTGTGTTTACTTGGTCTTCCAAAGCTGTGAATTGGTGAGAAGAGTTCCTGCGTGGATGGCATTTTGGAATGGAAAGAGCTTGACAAGGTTGCAAGGAAAGCCAAAGGAATCTGACTTAAATGTTGTTGTTTTCAAAGAGCTTTTTAAAAAGCGTTTAAAACTTCCACCTAGAATTGTATTTAAATTTTCCTATAAATTAAAATAAAGTGAAAAAAATTAAAAAATAAAATAAAGTGAAAGCAGTGACACCCGCTCCACTCTTTGCGGCCTGACTTTTGCTCTTCACTTTAGAGAAGTCGGATTAGAGTTAATGTGGGTGTTGGGGATTTTAACTCCATTCTCATTAATCAGGAGAGCCACCTCATTATTGTGATGCTCTGAGAGCAAGCAGCTTGCCCAAATCATAGCTGAAATATATTCGGTCAGGCATCAAACCCAAGTCTCCTCAATATTTTATCCATTCCTGGGGCAGATATTGACGGGAGAATGAGGGTTGTTATTGTGTATTTTAGAAACCAGTTCTTACCCAATTTTGATGTGCACGTGAACCCTCTAGGAATCTTGCTAACGTGCTGATTCTGATTGATAAGGTCTAGGGTCTGGCAGCACTGGGTTCTTCCAGGAGATGATGATGACGTTGGTCTGGCCCACAGGCCACTCTGAAGTGCAAGAGAAGTCCATTTCCTGCTGGTGCAGATGAAGACCCTGAAGAGCACTGGCTAGAAGTCAGTCATAGCAAGTCTGGGTCAGGAAGAGCTGGAACCATATCCCGCACCCATCTCTGCATTCCCTGCTAAGCCCTGCTGTGGGCTATATCTCACTGCTGACTCTAACTGAATTGGAGTGCACTTTGGGAAACACCCAAAGGATTGCTGACAAACCATGTAGTAGTCGGCAGGGCTTTGGGAAGGTGGTGCTCACAGATCAGTGAAGGAAAACATTAGAACGTGGTTTCTCCCATCTCTCAACTTAGAGACAGCATATCTTTAAAAAACCTGAGGAATTTCCGTGGCAGTCTACTGATTAAGACTCCACCCTTCCACTGCAGGGGGCATGGGTTGGATCCCTGGTCAGGAACTAAAATCGTACATGCATTGAAGCATGACCACAATAACATACAATATAATTGGATTACTAAAACAAACAGACAAACAAAAAAACACACCAAAAACCTGAACATCATCTCCAGAACTAAAATGGAAGAGACAGTTTCTGGCATTCTCTTAGAGCTAAGTGGATGAAGAAAGAAAGAAAGAAAATGAAGTTGCTCAGTCATGTCTGACTCTTTGTGACCCCATGGACTGTAGCCTACCAGGCTCCTCCGTCCACGGATTTTCCAGGCAAGAGTAGTGCAGTGGGCTGGCACTTCCTTCTCCAGGGGGTCTTCCTGACCCAGGGATCAAACCTGGATCTACTGCGTTTCAGGCAGGCGCTTTACCCTCTGAACCACCAGGGCTCAGTGGACAAACTAACTCATAAAGCAAGATTCAGTGAACTTTCTATTCTAGTGACAATAATAATGAGAGGATGTAAACAAACCTGCCACCTAGAGCTCAGTTAGAAACTTGGGACTTCACCTTCATTTCCTTTTCCAGATTTTGTCACCTTCAGCGATTTAAGGAAAACAAACACTTTTGGTTTCTATTGTCATTCTTCTCCTGGGCTTCAAAAAATCTGGATCAAATAAAGTGATAATTTAATCAAAATAGATAGGGCATCAAAAAGACACTGACATCATAAAATGTCAACAACTACTCTTAGCTGACAAAATGAAAAAAAAAAATCTACTCCCCCCTGAGATACTCCTCAAATCTACCACTGACAAAGAACTAAATCTCAGCTTTCTTATCTGGTTAATGAGGATAATAATAATTCCTGTCCTGCAGAGGTAGTAAATGAGATAATGCTGCAAGATCATTGCCTAGTGTTTTGTGTTCATTTTCACAACTGAACAATTTTTTCCCCAACAACTGGACAATGCTGGTGAGATTCCAGATATATAATTGGTTCATACTGAAGGATTATGAGGCTAGTTCAGTGAGAAGGCAAGGAGGAAGGGGAATTGAGGATGCTGATGAGACACGATTGTGGGATCTAGATTCAGAGGAACAAAGTGAAATGGGGGCACGGGGAGTGATGATGGTGATGGTGAAGGGTGGAGAAGGTGTTGGTTGCTGCTCCTGAGTGAGGAAGTTGCAAAGATGCATCAGCCCAGTCCCTACCCTCTAACTACAAAAGCCATTCCACCCACACACTTCAGGGAACAACACAACCCAGCCAAACTCTCCTCACTTTGTCATGACAGTGGAAATGTTTGTGTCTGGAAGACTAGTCAGATCTTCCTAATACCCCATATAGCTGAGACCTATTGAGGTCAAGATTCCCTAAATAGCTGACTCTTGGAGAACATTGCATTGATTTGGAAATTGGGAGCCTCCTATTCAGTTTCCAAATAGCAATATGGGGTGTTCCTCATTCTTGATTTACTGTGATTCAACAAATGCAATTCCAAGTCCCCCAAACCCACATGTAGGAATAAACCTTGGAGTAGCTTTCTG